CCCCAGCCACACCCACAGAGGGCCCAACACTGAGCTGGCTCCCTAAGAGGTACCGGGATCCCTACAGCCCCATGGAAGAGAAAGGGTCACCCCACCATCCTGAGAGCCTGCTCAGATTCGATCTGGGACAGAGAGGGGGGGATCCTGCTATTTTTATTTTTTTTAAAGATTTTATTTATTTATTTGAAAGACAGAGTTACAGAGAGAGGTAGAGACAGAGAGAGAGAGAGGTCACTCCCCAGATGGCCACAATGGCCAAAGCTGCACCAACCCGAAGCCAGGAGCTCCTTCTGGGTCTCCCATGTGGGTGCAGGGGCCCAAAGACTTGGGCCATCTTCTACTGCTTTCCCAGGCCATAGCAGAGAGCTGGATCAGAAGAGCAGCAGCCGGGACTAGAACCGGCGCCCATATGGGATGCTGGCGCTTTAGGCCAGGGCGTTAACCCACTACACCACAGTGCCGGCGGCCCCAATCCTGCTATTTTTAACCACTTGTAAAAATCCTTCAACTCTGAACTTCTTCATGCAAGTGTGACACCAACTGCCAGGGATTTTAAACGGATCATTAGAGCAGCAGAGGCTCCATGGGCCCCTACAGGGCCATGCTTGGCCAGCAGAGGTATTTAAGTCTGAGAAACCCATTTGGTGGAGTTATTCAGACTGTCCCCTAATTCAGACAGCTCCCTCCTGACGTGAAGTTTTAGCATCAATAAGGCAGGTCATCACGATAGAGAAACGCTACCAAATATATCAGCACTTAGCCACTCTGAAGCGCTTTCTAAAAACACAGACCCTGGACCAGTCTCACATGACCTGCACCTCTCTGTCCCTTTGCCTGGGCTGGCCCTCTAGAGGAAGGAAAGGACACTGACAGGTGCTGGTGCATGTTGGGACACGTGTCTTGATTCACAAGCTCCATTTCCACCTGTGCCACCCTGGATCTCGCTGTTTTACCCGGAGGGGCTGACCGCTGGGTGGCAGGTACTGGCGATCAGGGTATGCAGGGCATCCTGAGGCACCACCACCCACTGCAGGGATCACTGACTGACTGTGGGAGGAAAACACACCCTTTCAAGGGAGAGGTCCCCCTCCAACAGCGAGGATGCGCCCTTGTCACGGGCCTCCCAGTGGGGTGCAACCCAAAACTCAGGGCGCTACTTGTGCACTATTCTTGCTGCAAAAAAAAAAAAAAAAAAAAAAAGGCTGTCTGAATCTAATTGCTCCAGCAGACCAAACACAGGAAACAGCTCAGATACCACAACAAGCAAACACCCAGACAACCCCAGGGCACGGGACAGGCCGCGGCACCAGCCGGGACTCCTCCAGTGTGCAGCTCGACTGGAGCACGGTGTTGAAAAACTCAGCCACAGAAGACTTAAGACCTCTGGGGACACATGACTACGGACTGGATATTAGATGACATTACAGCTTTATTATTATTATTCATTTTTCTAGGTCTTCCTTGTCCAAGATGTCCTTATGAGACTTAGCTGATAAGAAACATCACAGAAACTCTTAACTGACATTACGATCCCAAAGCTAGGTGCACTGGTTTGTGATTTTACTTTGGGCTACAGGAACAAAACTATCACTTCTCAGTGCCAGCACTGTTTCTGTAAAACACTGGCCCATTTCTCCCAGCTGGCTGGTCCCCATAGCTGTGACATGAAAACGGGCTGATTCACCCCAGCTTTCCAAACCCTTGCTCCTGTCTGCACCTGAGCCCAGAGCCCTGCTGTGCAGGGTGAAGGTGGCCTGACTTTGCTCTGCACTCACGTGTCCTGAGAGCAAACACCCTCCACTGCCAACACACACACACAGGCCCACGCTGGCCTGGGGCTCACGGCGTCGGCGACTGCACAGCTCCCCAGCTGTGTGGGGTGCTCCAGGCCCGCCCGGCTCTGCTCTGCCGCCACTCCAGTCTGTCCCCGGTGGGTCAGGACAGAGCCCCTGGGCACACAGTGCTTCTCCAGACACCCGTGGGTCGCTTCGTTGACTCCCCGGGAAGCCCAGGGTGGGAAGTACCTTTGCGAGCTGTCTGCTGTTTCTGCCTGCACAGGGAGGCCCCTCAGCCTCTGGGAAGCCCACTGGACTGACAGGGCGAGGCTGGCAGGGGGACATGCCTGGGGACCCGGGGCCTGTAGTGGGCTCATGGAGCTGAGAGGCCACATGGCTGGCCTCTTGCACTACCACTGTCTGGCCTGAGCTAGCCTATGGTCCCCCTCCCCACCCCAAGGAAGACATCTACCAGAAACTGAAGGAGAAACCCTTGTGCAAACCAAACGCTCCTGGGACATCTTACTCCAGGACAATCTGCCCCCATCTCGAAAAACAAACAAAAGTCTAAGCAACTTATAAGTTGAGAAAAAAGGGGCTTCTGAACAGAAATAGGGACATAAGGGGGCCAGCACCTTGGCACAAGGGTTAAGGCACCGCTTGTGACGCTGGCATCCCATATGCATCCCATGTTGGAGCGCCGGCTTGAGTCCTGGCTGCTCTGCTTCAAACCCAGCTCCCTGCTAATGCACCTGGCCAGGATGGAGTGCTGGTGGCTGGCTCTGGCCTGGCCCAGCCCAGGCTGTTGCAGGAATTTGGGGAATGAACCAGTGGATGGACCGATCTGTCTGTCCCCGAGCAGTCCCCATCATCAGAACCAGGACGTTCCGAGTACAGCACTGAGTGCACAGCTCAGGGGACGCAGTCCTGGACCAGGACAACTGGGGCCTCAGCGGGGACAGGCCTGGCACTTACTGATCGCCATCTCGAACTGCTGGAAGGAGACATCCGGGATTGGCAAAGGCGGCAGAGGCCTTATCTTCACACACCATGAGCTCCCCTTCGAGGGCTTGTCAGGGAGCTGCTCCGTCCCACAGCCTGCCCCGTGCCCAGGGGACTGAAAACCAAGGCCAGAGACAAACGGCTCACAGATGGCTTCCCCTAGGCCACCTCCAACCCTCTCCTTTGTCCCAGCAAAGTCCATTCGAAAGTGCCAAGCAGCTCCCTAAAGATCCCCTTCTCTGCCCAGCAGTTCCAAAAGGAAAAGCCCACGGTTCCTGGTGGAGCGCACCAAGGGGTTTGGGGGAAGAAAGGCACTTCTGGGACTGGGTCCCGTCAGTGGGATCCTCCTGCCCCCTGTCCTCGCAGTCCCGGTACCTCGGCCTGCTCTGTCCTCTTCCAGGTGGGCGGATGAAGCTCCCGCTCTCACCTCCAGCCCAGTACTGGTGCAGACACAGCGCCAGCATTCCCAGCTCTTGCCCCGTCACTCGACCCCACGCCGTCCCAGGCCCTGCCAGCTGGTTCCACAAGTTCTGTCCACGCTGTGCACAGAAAACGCCACGGTGGGACTGGCACTGGTGTTCACACTGAAGACGACGCAGAGAAGCGAGCGAGCCCCTATAAACTCGCAGGGCCAGTGTCACCCCTCGGACACATGTGGCTTGGCACACTCAGCCAGGAGCCCTGTCACAGTCACATTTCCCTCTCCAATCACAGGGACACGCCAGGCCATCAGCAGAGCTAGGCTAAGAAATCCCAAGTTGAGAAACAAAATACAAGTTAAACCTACAGTTCCTTTGCAGAGAAAGGAAGGCTGGCTGTCCAGGGTGGAGGGGAGGGGGCGCGGAACAGAGACCACACAGAAGGCCTTGCGCGCACGCGCGCGCACACACACACACACACACACACGCAGGACATGCACACGAGTGACCAGCTATCACAGCTAAGCTGTCACAAACCCGTGCTGCGGGAACAAGTGGGTATTTGTTCAGAAAACAGCAAGGCGGGTAGGTGGTGGCTAAACTACACAGCTGTGCACTTACTGCGAGACTTATCGAAGCCAGGGCCACCTCCAGCCCGAGAGAACTACAGGCAGGCATGGCGGCCCTGCACAGGTGCGCAGCTGCCGCAGGAGCACACCTTCTGCAGGAACTCCTCACAGAGGCTTCGAGAACAAGTCATTTGTGGAATTAACGCTTTTGCACAGACAGTGATAACCTACCCTTCCCCCAAAAGGCGATCCCAGGGACACCCCCAGAGCCACACGGCACCCACCGTGTCCGTACCTTAATAGGGGAGGGGGGGTGTGCGGGAAGAAAACAACCAGGCCACGTGCCCCACGGCACACAGGACAGCGTGGGGCCACGGAGGGCTTCCTTCTCCACAGAACTCCCGAGGAAGGGCCCCTGGGGACTGAACACTCTGGGACCTCCCCAGACCCTCCGAGCCAGCGTCTCCATTAAGCCACTCCGGAAAGGAGGGAAACTTCCACTATCAATAATCAAAGTGGGCTGGGAAAGCGAACAGCCCGGGAAGCCAGGGATGCCCGCAGTCCATTAGGAGAGCTGACACAGGTGGGCCTGCCAGGGGAGACAGGCGAGGAAGGCACGCGATGTGGGAGACAGGGCAGCCCGGCGGGTCTCGCTCCTACCGAAGGGAAAATAGAGCTGCGGGCGCGGGGAGCAGGGCCACAGGTGTGTGCGCAGGTGAGGGGCACCGCGAGCCGGATTGCAGGGCGCTGGGCTCCAGGGGCTGCGAGCGAGCGAGGCGAGGGAGCAGGACTTAGCCAAGAACGGAGGTGGCCAGTCCCTGCAGAGTGAAGGTGTGGAAAGCAGCCCAGCACCTGACTGAGGGCTTACACAAGCGAGGGGACCCCTCGGGGGACACGGCTCCGGGCTGCAGGGGGGCTTCGCCTTAATTCGCGAGAACGAGGTGGGAGGGGCGAGTCCTAGGCAAGCATCTCGGAGATAAAGAGCAGAGGGGCGCGGACCTCTTCGGTGGATGCCGCAGCGACCCGACGAGCAGCTAAGGACCCCGGGGCCGGGGGTCGCCGCCTCCCACCCCCCAGCTGGGAACGCCCAAGGGCTCGCGGGGTGAGGAAGGCGCCTCTGCCTGAGCGCCGGGGATCCCAGGCCCAAACTGTGAGGCCAGGAGGGTCCCCGCAGCTGGGCCGGGCGCAAGGCTCGCCGTGCAGGGCCTCCGGAGGGGCGGGGGTCCCGGACTCACGCATCAACGTGCTGAAGGCCACGACGCCGAGCAGCCCCTGCAGGAAGATGCCGAAACTGTGCATGAGTGCGCCGCTCTCGCAGCGGCCCGCCCCGGCCGCCGCCGTGGAGGGCGGCCCGCCCGGCAGCCCGCGGCTCGCGTTCCCGAATGGGCCCTGCATGGCGGGCCTGGCGGCAGGGGCGCGGGGCGCCGCGGCCCGCCCGGCCTCGCTGCCTGCCGGGGCCGCGCCGCCGAGCCGAAGCCGGGAGCCCGAGCCGGGAGCCGGCACCTCCTCCCCGCGGCCGACTCGGCGCCGCGCGTAACCCGACGTCTGAGATCGCAGCGCCGGATTGGCCCGGCGCGGCGCGGGGGGCGGGCCCAGGCGCCCGAGTCTCTCCGAGGGGCGGGGCTCCGGCGCGGGCCCGGGGGCGGGGCCGCGAGTGCGTGCTCGCAGGTGAGACCGACCAGGTGAGCTGGGCCGCGCAGCTGGAACGAGAGCCGGAGTACCCGGAGCTGCGAGTCGGGGTTCTGGAGAAGGCACGGCGTTGTGCGGCTCATTTTCCCTCCCATGCAGCTCCCTTAAATACCGTTTGAGATTCCACCCTCGGAGATTTGGATTCAGCAGTTCTGGATGGAGCCCAGTTGGTTCTGAAACAGGTGGCCGCGCCGGGCAATCCAGGACTGCGTGCAGACACCTTCCTTCCGAGCAGACGCTTGGCGTCCGCGGACATCCGTGCCCCAGGCCCCTCTTAAAGATTCCTTCCTCAAAGTCCCGAGTCGCCCTTCCCCGACGCCCCCACCGCAGTCCCGCAACCTCACTTAAATGATACAATCGGTCCAATCGCTTCTGTTTAGACACGTATCACACTTCGAACGTGATCCACCAAGGGCCGAGCGAGCGGCTGGCACCTGTGGGTCTCCAGCGCCCCCCTGCCCACCACTCACAGCCGCGCCCACCCTCCCCACTCTGTGTGGAACCTGCCCTCTGCCTCCACCAGGGCTGCCAGCACCCTCTGGCTTCTCTCCGACACTTCGTGTAGGTGCTGCCCGGCCACTAACCAGAGTGGACTCGTGGCACCACGCCGATGACACTGGGCTCCACCTGTTGAACAATAAATACCATCTCTAGGGAAAACTTTCCCACTAAAGCAACCCCAAGAAATTCCACGAGGGTCAGATGCTAAGCCCCAAACGTTCTCGGTTAACACGGACAGGAACCGGACTATCGAGACCAAGGACGAAAGTCTGCAGCCTTGGCTCACACTGTGACCTGTGAAGCTCCCCGCGGCTCTCCCACCGCATGGGGGGCTGCCCCGTGACTGCAGTGTGCGCTTCAGGGCCTGCCTCGCACAGTTGCTCCCACATTCCCTGGCGTGTGCTGTCCCACTGGAACCTTTCACACTGCCCAAGCAGACGGCGGTCCGGACACGCGTCCCCGTGCAGGCTGCGTGTGAGCCGCCCAGGGGCACAAAGTGATTATCTATGCTTGAATCCAAGAATCTTCCGACAAAGAGAACATCAACAAGATATTTTGAAGTTTCAATTGAATTTTAATGTATAAAATTTAAAAGTCTCCACAAGTATTGACCGTGGCAAATACAGAAAATCAGGTTAACCAACTGGCGAAGGAAAATTCTTTAATTGCTGTCTTTATTACTGTCTTTAAAAGCCTGAGGGCTCTGGGTGAGGAGGACTTCCCCAGTGAGGAGGGCACGTTCACAAGGAACCGGCGGCATGCCAGGCTCCAGGAAGAGACGGCCGTGGTGGGCACAGGGGGCCACAGGCAGCTCCAAGGGTCGCCACCAACACTGTGCTTCCGATTCCCTCAGGCCTGCAGAGGAAGCAAATGCAGGATTCCCACCGCCAGGAGCAAGGCCTCTGGGGGAAATCCTGTTCTCCCCGCTGCTCTGAACCGGGATTAAAGGGCACCTGGATGCAGGGGGAAAGAGGGCCTGAAAGGGGCTTGAATTCTGCATCTTCCAAAGACTGCACTCTGGCCAGCCGCCTGCCTTCCTGTCCAGTCAGCAGAAATGAGGCTGAACGGAGCGTAAGACCTGGTTTTTGGTTTCTCACAACTGCTTAAAACTGCCATTATATACAGGTTTTCAATTTTAATTTACAAAAAAAAAAAAAAAAGAAAACCAGAATTATTCTTCCTCCTGAATAATTTTCTTTAATCCTTTAAAGTGATGCCGTTGAGCTTGACGGAAGTGATCTTCATGGGTTTTCCTGTGCCTCTGCCTCCTCGAGAGTACTCTATCTCCAGTGACTTGTGAAATTAAGGGGGAAACAGCAAGCAGGAAGGGGACAATGCAATGAGCATTTCATTTGTTCCAATCAAGCATCTTAAAAAAAAAAAAAGGCAAAATACATTCAACAAAGTGCATCAGTTCCAACAAGTTAGCGTTAGACAGAAGCCCTGGACTGTGCTGGAAGCCCTCCCCAGCAGGCCTCTGATTGTCTTGTCTTGAATATAGTTATGTTGAGCATACTGATTATCCAAGAATATTCAACCAAAGAAAGGAGGAGCGGGGAAAGGAACGGGCACTGCAGCATTCACATGGCCTCCGCCACACTCTTGCACAACAAGGGCTGTCCAGCTGGGACTGCCCCAGCCGCGGGGCATCTGCTCTGTGACTTGATTTGCCCCTAGAGCCAGAGCCTGCCCCTGGCCTTGCTGCACTATTTGACCTTTATTCTGCCAAGCCGGACGTGCAGTTGGATGGCATTAGGGCTGAGTCCCTGCACACCCTAAGCACAGGCACCCAACAGGCAACAGTGCCACACAGTCAGAGAAGCAATGGGAGCCCCTCGATCCCACGGCGCAGCTCCACTCTGCTGCTGCTTCCCTTCCAAAGCAGTCCTTCTGTGACGGACCCAACCAAAGCCCCAAGCGGACAGGGTTTGAGGCCAGCTTCTCCATGCCCAGACCCTCCTCTCAGTTTTGCTGGTTCTTGTGAACGTCAGACTTCTTGAACACTGGCCATTACTACTGCCCCACCACCACCACCACCACCACCACCACAAGGCTGCCTGTGTGGCCTGGAACATGCACTGGGCAAAACACCCCAAAGGACTGGGCTTACAGGGTAGGATTCTTGGGCCCAAACCCCAAGACCCTTGTAGCTTATTTGGATAAGAAGAAATTTCCAAAGTACACCCACTCTCACATAAGGGATGAGAGTCATCAAAAGTTCGCAAGCAGAACATTCAGTGTGAATAGTCAGGAAGATGTGCCACTGCAGGAAGTCAACTTCTTTCTTGCAGTTTCTTAGCCAAAGCCACGGCCACAACTGTAAAGGGGGCCCAGGCCCAAAGGTTTAAAAAAAATGAGCACCTGGGGGCTGCCATCTGCAGTGCTGGCATCCCATATGGGTGCCAGTTTGGGTCCCAGCTGCTCTACTTCCCATCCAGCTCCCTGCTGTGGCCTGGGAAAGCAGCAGCAGATGGCCCAAGTCCTTGGGACCCCACCCCGCCATGGGAGACCCAGAAGAAGCTCCTGGCTCCTAGTTTCAGCAGCTCCAACTGTTGCAGCCAATTGAGGAGTGAACCAGCAGATGGAAGATCTCTCTCTCTCTCTCTCCTTTTCTCTCTGTAACTCTGACTTCAAAATAATAAAATACATCTTTTTTTTTTTTTTTCTTTTGACAGGCAGAGTGGATAGTGAGAGAGAGAGACGGAGAGAAAGGTCTTCCTTTAGCCGTTGGTTCACCCTCCAATGGCCGCCACGGCTGGCGCGCTGCGGCTGGCGCACCGCGCTGATCCGATGGCAGGAGCCAGGTGCTTCTCCTGGTCTCCCATGGGGTGCAGGGCCCAAGCACTTGGGCCATCCTCCACTGCCTTCCCGGGCCACAGCAGAGAGCTGGCCTGGAAGAGGAGCAACCGGGAAAGAATCCAGCACCCCGACTGGGACTAGAACCTGGTGTGCCGGTGCCGCTAGGTGGAGGATTAGCCTATTGAGCCGTGGCACCGGCAATAAAATAAATCTTTAAAAAAAAAAAAAAAAAAGGAGCACCTTGTTCCCCCACCAAGATTTGTTCCTTATTCCTATTAGTGATGCCTGCCTTCTCTACTGTCACAAGCAAAATGGGTTTTGAACTTATTTACAGACATACACACACACGCGCCCCATACACAGCGCTGGAGCTCAAATCCAGAGTGTGCATGCACTCTTGAGGCTAGCCTCCTGACACCTTTCTCAGTGCTACCAAGGAAATCAGGCAAAGCAGTAAACAACATCTCAAATGTGTCTTTGGTGACAGGTGCCCAGTAAACAGGAGTGCCAGCGACAGTTTTCCGTGTCCCCAGCCAGGCTCCTTGATGTTCTCTGTGGTCCTTGGGAACATTTTTGGCTGGAGAAGACAGTGCAGCTGAGTCCTGTCTCACCTAAGGCTCCCGGGACTCTCAAACAGTGTTTAGTGCCACATCAGAGATGGAATCGGGACCAGGGAACATGTAAAACGTGGCCATGTCCTCAGGAAGCTAGGCCTGATGCTTCCTCTCTCACGGTGAGAGTAATTTTACCTCCAGAAGACGATGCACAGGAGGGCAAGTTCTGGACTGCCTTCTGTGCCCGCCTCCAACACAGTCCATCGGTGTTCACCTGTAAGGTCATCTTCTCTGGACGGCTCGTCACTGACCCTTCCCCGCCCTCGTGTGTTTGCAGCAGGGATGCCGGGCAGCACCTGCACTGCTGAAGAAAGAGCAAGCCCAGGGATGCGGATGCGGCCCCTGCACGAGCCCCTCGGACTCTGCGGCCGATGAAAAGGATGCAAGTGGCACAGGCCCCAGAGCACAGGAAGTGCAGGCAGACCTGCAGGTGCAGCTGAAGCCTTCCCCAGCACACTCATATCAGCAGGAATATTCTAGGATCGGTCAACCCACTGCCAAGGCCCAGGAGGAAGGGGTGGTCCGTTAGCCTGTTTCTGCGTTGTCAATTCAGGGGACGAAAATGGATCATGAGAAAGTTTCTGATCTGACAGGCTCAGGGGCCAACTGCAGGTGAAACCCAGAGGCATGCAGTTCCCTTGTCATGCACCCGCCATCACCGGAAGAGGCTGGACTTTCTAGAAGGGTCCACACATGCCCCGGTGTGTGCCCAGACACGGTGAGTGGCTGTCAGCCGTCAGACATTTCACCTGCAGCCAGGCACCAGCAGTGTTAGCTGTGCACATTCCCAACAGTTAGAGCTGGATCTCTGAGGAAGTTTGAACACATTCACTTTTAGTTAAATGAAGCTTCTTCCAGTTATGTCCACTACTGCCCTAGACGCTTTAACAGCCGATGTGGCCGGGGGGCTCAGGGCGAGGGGCTCTCACCCAGGGAGGAGAATCCAGACCACGGACACACTTGCCAACGTCCATAAAAGGGAGGCAGGCAATGAACAAAGTCAGCCGGGTTGAACTTGGAATAGCATCACCTTGTATTTATAAGGCTGTTCAGAACGTACCCAGTTTGCAGTTCTAAAACATCTTCAAATAGGGAGAAGGAATGATTGGGTTATAAATTTGCAAGTGACTAGGATAATCCAAATAAATAAATAAATACATAAATAGACACTCAGCAAAGCAAACTATCCCCAGGAGGCAGCCAGTTCGTGCCATCTTTGCTCTCCTGGGGGCCAGAGTGGCACGGCCAGAGCCAGATTCCATGCAGTCACAGGTGGGGCTTCACCAGCCAGCCCAGAACAACACCGGGAACTGTCAGGCCGCAGATTACACTCAGTGTACAGGTTTGGCCAAAGGGAAGCATCAGTGTGGCTCAGTAAAGTGGTTTCTAGAATGCTATACCACCCCCAGTCCAGCCAGGGGGACCCCATGACAGAAACTCCACGCGCTCCATCAGCCCCAGAACTTCTCTCTGCTGTGCCTCCACACCATTTACCTGCAGACACCCAGAAAGGTCGGGGGGCTGGCTCTACAGCTTAACACCTGTGATGAAACAGCAGACAAGCAAACACAGAATGAAAGCCACCGATGTCCCTCTAAGAACCGAGAGACAGAGAGAGAGAGAGAGAGAGAGAGCGAGCGAGAGAGAGCGAGAGAGAGCGAGGGCCAGCAAGAGAGCAGGAAAACCGAAACACCAACAGTCTTCACAAAGCTACCTGACGCAGGCAGCCTGAGCTGGGTCAAGATGGGCTGCAGCGACAGAAGCGTCCTGGCATCAGGGCAGTTCCGCGACTCGAGCAAGCGCCCGCAGAACGCCTCGGAGAAAGCAAGCAGCGTCTTTCTCTCCCCTCCAACTTCTGTCATGGTTTTTGTATTCATGTAGCTTTTAAAAAAATGGCATCATACAAAAAACTCCATACATGGCTGTCAGCTTAGTTATCAACAGAGGTAGTAAACCAAGAATTCTTAAGAATAGATTTTAAAATGGATCAAAGTGTGACCATACATTCAAAACCCTAGAGCCACGTAATCATCCCCAAAATGAACAGTTTTAATTTAAAAAAGCTTAAAACCACAATGACAAGGAAGCACTGACGTGCCTGGGGCACAGTCCCAAGTCAGTGCTGACTTAAAGCTACGTCCTCTCTTTCCGAGAGAGAAAGCAGAGAACAAGTCTGGACTACGACGGGAAGGAACAGAATGAAAAAGAAAACCACCAAAGGGAGCTCCGGCAGCCGCGGGGCCGAGGGCCCAGGCTGCACCGCGGACGTCTCGTTCTTCATACACAAGTCTTCCCTCACGGCCTGCGTCGTTAAGAGCTCAATCTGCTGAGCAGGAGACGTCCACACTCCCACTGCAGGAGCTCTGGGCACAGTCTTGCTTCCTCGGTGTGGTCCTCCTTCCCCGAAAGTGCAGAGAGCGCAGGCCCAGGGCCCGGCCCGCGCTGCGTTTGTGCTTCACAGATCCAGCTCGCTTTGGTTGTCCCGCTCAGTTGGCAAACTGCTCATAAAAAGCAAACTTGATCCTCTCTATGTGATGGCAAAGCTTGATGGCGGGGCCCAGCTTTAAGTCCATGCACTCCTGAACAGTGGGAAGAGTAAGGAGCAGCAGGGCCTGCCCATCAATTTCCTGAGAAGCAGAAAACACAAGCGCCTGTCACGTGCCGGGGAATGGCGGCTCGGGCACCACAGCCCTGCTCACTGTCCCTGCGTGTCCCTCGAGTGGCTGTGGATCACAGGCCTCCCCCGCCAGCCCAGGGGGCCCTGCAGAATTGGTGAGGAGGTTTTACCAAGGCTAAGTGGTGACAGTGCCTAGGAAGCACCTTTTTAGAGGGGGATCCCTCTGAATCTGAAGTCAAAATGCCAACTCTCACCTCCACGTTTTCCCACCTTGTAGCTCAGGAAACCTGACAACTCTGCACACGCTCAGCTCTGAACCTGCAGCTGCACAGAAAATCCGCCTCCATGTTTACTTACGGCCACTGACTATCTGGGTTTTGGTACACTTGCCTTAACACTGGTCAGTGTTCCAGGGCCAACTGTTTTACATGAGCAAATTTTTTTTCCCCAAAAATGATGGTGACAATTAAGCCTGGAATGCTTGATTTCAAGCCATTAGCTATTTGGGGGATGGGATAGAATTCTCAGGAAAATGGTGACACCATGCTAATATGCTTCGACTAAGGAACAAGATAGACAGTATCTTGTCACCTTTCTGTTCCCAAAAGGCAAACGAAAACAGTGCTTTTCTTTCCAATCAGCACACTCTTCCTAAAGCTTGAGAGCAACTCTTGACTACTCCCCCACAGTTCTATGCCAGGGAGACGCACGGCCGCACGCTGCAGGTGCTGGGCTCACCTGGTCCAGGAAGATCCTTGCTAGTGGTGCACAGTCGGTGGACCTGATGAACCGCACCACATCTGCCACACTCCACTGCAGGGGGTTGCTGTCCAGGTGCAGCCTCTCAGCGACTTCCATCCGCATCTCCTTCATTCCCCACCACAAAGCAAACCAAACAGTGTGAGGGCTACTCGTTCTAACAGTCTGTATATACTGATAACACTTCAAGACAGGAAGAAACGGTCATGTATATGCATTCAACATACTAAACAAAATAGCTTACTCAGAATCAAAAGGATGAATAATTCATTTCTGTACCACGTGTATGATGAGAAGTATTAAAAAAGCAGTTTTCACAGGGCAGGCATTGCAGCACAGCAGGCCTAGCCATGCCTGGGAGGCCCCTAACTCCCATATCCCACACTGGAGTGCCCGGCAGTGAGTCCCGGCTCTGCTTCCAATCCAGCTTCCTCTTAACGCGCTGGGAAGTGACGACCGATGGCCCCAGGACTTGCGTTTCTACTTTCCATAAGGGGGACCTGGATGGAATTCCTGGCTCCAGGCCTCAGTCTGGCCCTGCCCCAGCTGTCACTGGTATTTGGGGGCTGAACCAGCAAATGCATGATCTTTCTCTTTCTACGTCTGTCTGTCTTTCTCTCTGTTACTCTGCCTTTCAAATAAATAAACAAGCAAAACTTAAAAAAAAAAAAAGTTAAAAGGCAGTTTTCCGTAAACTAAATGACAGGCTACAAATAAGCAGTGAAGTTTGTTTTTTGTTTTGTTTTACTTAAACAGCTATTCTAAGAAAGACTCTCCTCTTATAAGCTCGTCTCCAAATAACCCTTGTCACATATGTGAGTCACTACACTTGGAGAGACCCTGGAAACCCTTGGTGAGCTGATTGCAGGAAGCAGACATCAGCACCACTAGCCACGGAGCAGGGCAGTGCTGGAGGGCACAGGGGGCTGTGGGCTCGCATGGTACCTTTGGCGAGGGAGGCTTGTTCTCGTCGTCAGAAAACGAGGCAGAGCGTGGCGCCCTCCTTCTCGCCTGCCTGTCGGGAGGCAGAGATGCGGACACCTCGCTCTGGGTGGGGGACGAGGAGCAGGACTTTTTCTCTGATGTTTCCGACTCCTCCTGGAGCTCGTCCTGCTGTTCGGAAGTACTGCCTTCGCTCAGGGAGTCGTCGTCCCCGTCATCCGGGTCGTCCTCGTCTTCACCCCCACTGCCCTGGAGGAGGAGGTGTCGTGCAAACTCAGGACAAAGCAGCTGCTAGGCCACAGAGTCACCGCCTAGTGGCAGACCCCAGAACTGCTGGGACCTGCAGGTATCCCTGCGGTACAGCCGTGGCCCCTGGCTCCCCAGCCCCATGGAGCCCTACAGCTGACACGTGGGGAGAGCCCCACACCTGGGGAGAGAGCCCTGCGCCTGGGGAGAGCCCCGTGCCTGGGGAGAGAGCCCCGCGCCTGGGGAGAGAGCCCCGCGCCTGGGCAGAGCCCCGTGCCTGGGGAGAGAGCCCCGCGCCTGGGCAGAGCCCCGCGCCTAGGGAGAGAGCCCCGCGCCTGGGGAGAGCCCCGTGCCTGGGGAGAGAGCCCCGCGCCTGGACAGAGCCCCGCGCCTGGGGAGAGCCCTGCGCCTGGGGAGAGAGCCCCACGCCTGGGGAGAGAGCTCCACGCCTGGGGAGAGAGCTCCACGCCTGTGGGGAGCCCCATACCTGGGGGGAGCCCCACACCTGGGGAGAGCCCCACGCCCGGGGGGAGCCCCATACCTGGGGAGAGCCCGCGGGTGTGTTATCGACAGATGCAGAGCAGCGTTTCTTCTTGTGAGCAAACACATTTTTCCGCCTCTTTCTTCTCTTACTGGCTTTTTTCAGGGCACAAGCTAAGTTACTATGCCCACCGGGTGGCCTTCCAATTCTTTTATTTTTCTTCTTTCCATAATAGTGTGCTAAAAAAGAAAAATGAAGTCGCTCCATTATTTCTGTGTACCTCAAACCGCATGGGAACACTAGTGCATCTCATTAAGGCGCAAATTCCATACAGTGGACTGCACGGGTCTTAGGTGCAGTCTGATTAGCACTACCAAACACAGCAACCTAACCCTCCCGCATCAAGACACAGAATGCCTCAACAGCCCAGAGGGCTCCCAGGGCCCCTTCCCAGAAGCAATTCCGATTCTGATTCCCACCACTGTAGGGCGGAAGCCACAGGAAGTGCTTCCCTGTGCACGGCTCCTCTCCTTGGGCCGAGGTTCTGAGTTTCCCGTAGGCCATCGTGTGTGAGCAGCTCACCCCTTCATGCTCAACAACCGCACATCGCTGGACTAATACTCCAGGCCTTCCCCTTTCCTATCGGTTGGCTCTTGGTTTGCCTCCAGGTTTTTGTGAGTGTGTGTGTGTTTTGTTTTTTTTTGTTTTTGTTTTTGTTTTTTTTTTTTTTTTTTTGACAGGCAGAGCGGACAGTGAGAGAGAGACAGAGACAAAGGCCTTCCTTTTTCATTGGTTCACCCCCCAATGGCCGCTGTGGCCAGTGCACCGCGCTGCTCCGAAGCCAGGAGCCAGGTGCTTCTCCTGGTCTCCCATGTGGGTGCAGGGCCCAAGTACCTGGGCCATCCTCCACTGCAGTCCCAGGCCACAGCAGAGAGCTGGACTGGAAGAGGAGCAACCAGGACAGAATCCAGCGCCCCAACCGGGACTAGAACCCAGGGTGCCGGCACTGTAGGCAGAAGATTAGCCTATTGAGCTGCGGCGTCAGCTGAGTCTGTTATTCATTTTAAAAACTACTTTTTCTCCTTTGAAATTTTTTTTACTGAAGTACAAGCCAAATAATATACAATTCAACATTTTAAAGTGTAGAACTCAGTGTTCCATAGCATTTTGTTTCTTTTCACTTGAGGTGAAATTTACAAAACATATAATCAACCATTTTCAAGTACATAATTCAGTGCTATTTATTTATTTGAAAGGCAGAGAGATGCAGACTGAGATCTTCCATCTACCAGTTCACTCCCGAGTGTCTGCGATGGCCAAGGCTGGGCCAGGCCACAGCCAGGAGCCTAGAACTCAATCTGGGGCTCCCTCACGGGCAGCAGGCACCCAGCCATTGCAGCCATCACCTGCCGTCTCCCAGGACACATATCCGCAGGAAGCCAGAGTCTGAAGTGGCGCTGGGACTTGAACCCAGGCACTCCAGTATGGGATGCGGGCGTCTTAGCACTGTATCCAGCATGCTCAAAACATCACGCAGCTGCCAGCTGGCTCTGGTCTGCAAGCTTCTCTTAATCACTATGCTGTGGAGGTGTCACTGCACCCTGGGGAGAGATTCTTGGCTAGGAATACTGTCTCCAACACTGTGCCTTGTCTTTTCCATTTTTAAAACGTACTGGTGATGCTTCATCTATTAATGTCTTCTGTGTGTTAATGCACTGGGTCCTCTGTGAAGCCATGGACTAACAGAGATCTTGATGGTACTCTGCTTGCACTCTTCCAGAGGCTCTGTCAATTTGTTTTATGTCACGTCTGCGGTGGAGCTTACTTTCCGCATGTTACAGGTAGCAGCCAGGGGCTCTGCTCCTGATTTTCCTATGTGGATATCCAGTTGTACCAGTTGTTATCCTAGTTGAAAATCATTTAACCATATAAACTTGATTTTATACTCTAACTCATCTTTCTATTTGACTATTCCTGAACAATACTCTTGGATGTTTTTAGATTCATTTTACCTATTTGAAAGGCAGAGTGACATGGGGGTGGGGTGGAGAAACAGAGAGATCTTCTACCTACAGGTTCACTCCTCAAATGACTGCAACAGCCAGATATGGACCAAGAAGAAGCTGGCAACCAGGAACTCCATCCTGGTCTCCCCCATGGGTGGCAGGGGCCCAAGTAGTTGGGCCATCTCAAGCCTTCCCAGGTGCATCAGCAAAGAGCTGGGTCAGAACTGAGTGGCCAGGTCTTGAACTGGCACTCCAATATGAGATGCTGGCATTCCAAGTGGAGGCTTCACCCTTCCACCACAATGCCTGGCCCTAACCATACTCTTAATTACAATAGCTTTGTTGTTTGAAATAAACAAAATGGTAGAGTAAGTCTTCAAACTTCATTCTTTTTCAGGATGATTTTATCTTTTCTAGATCTTTTACATACTAAATAAGTTTTAGCACAGAGATAATGAAAAAAAAAAATGAAACACATATTTTAGCTCTGAGTTAGGTATTAAAGAGATACAAAAATGAGGCCGTCGCCGCGGCTCACTAGGCTAATCCTCCGCCTAGCGGCGCCGGCACACCGGGTTCTAGTCCCGGTTGGGGCGCCGGATTCTGTCCCGGTTGCCCCTCTTCCAGGCCAGCCCTCTGCTGTGGCCAGGGAGTGCAGTGGAGGATGGCCCAGGTGCTTGGGCCCTGCACCCCATGGGAGACCAGGAAAAGCACCTGGCTCCTGGCTCCTGCCACCGGATCAGCGCGGTGCGCCGGCCGCAGCGCGCCTCCGCGGCGGCCATTGGAGGGTGAACCAACGGCAAAGGAAGACCTTTCTCTCTGTCTCTCTCTCTCACTGTCCACTCTGCCTGTCAAAAAATTAAAAAAAAAAAAAAAAAGAGATACAAAAATGTAATGTTTTGCAAAAATGATTTCATATATGCCAGACATAAATCCACGTGATAACATTCAAATTATTAATTGGGAAAAATCACAGATTCTTCTAAAATCCAGGCTAATTTCAACTATGTCTTTGTGAAAGACAAATGCAGACAGGAAACAAAATCCACATCTCTTCCACAGGTTCCAAGCAGTATATTTTTATGTGTGCTTATATGAACAGTATTTTTCATTTAGTTCCTAATAATTACAATTTCCTACACAAGTATTGGCTTGATACAATAAGAAGCTAAAATAATCCCTACCCTTAAAAAAGTCACAAGCCAATCAATATAAACTGAATCCAGACGGTGGACTCACAGGATTTTGTGACTAGAAAGCTCGCCATTCTGGGCCTGGGCCTTAGGACAGCGGCACCAGCGGCATCCAGAGCTGGTGGGAAATGGAGATGCTCAGGGCCTAAACAGCCCGGACCCTGGAAGCCCAGAACCTCGACTTCAACAAGGTCCTCCGGTGATCCGCATTCACCACGAAGCTCCCGGTGTGAGGCTCTGAAACCTACTGAGGTAGCAGGCGCCTCCACAGGGAGTCTCCCGGGGCCATGAGGACGGCAGGACTTAGCGAACGCCAGGACCCCAACTCTGACGTTTGAGGGCCATGTCCTGACACAGCTGCTCACTGTGGTGTTCCACAGGGGAGGGGCTGAGCAGGGAGAGGGACAGGCCTCGCCCCGTCCAAGTTCACAGCAAGACCGCTCCTCTCCTGCTGTTTACGCCCTGGCCACTCTGGCTTCTCTGCTGCGCTTCCCACACCCTGAGCCAGCTCCTGCCTTGAGCCAGTCCTCCGGCGCTGCCCACCCAGACCGTGCCCAGCACAGTCCCCTGGCTGCTTCCTGTCCACCCGGCCCTGCCTCCGTGCTGGTGCGCCCGGCTTCCTTCCCGCACAGTGCTTTTCTCTCGGTACCTGCTCGCTTGTTTGTCTTCTGCCTCTCACATCCAACCTCACCTCAGCAGGGACGGGAGCTTTGTACTACAGTGTGAGAAACAGTGGCAGCACACAGTAGGTATCGACTCTGCCTCTCAAATGCATAAAATAAATAAATATTTCTAAAAATGTCAACAGCATTTTTAGCTTGAGAACCATACTACAAGACAGGCTATGGATCACCCACTGATTGCCCATGTGCCGTTGTGTATATCATGTGAGTATAAATTAGCTATTGCACCTAACAGGATACGTAATTCATCTACACCAACTGTAAGTACTGTGTGGACACTTCTACAAACTTTCCACGAGGGCCAGATAATAACTATTTTATGCTGTGGATGACACAATCTGCGGCTGCTGCGGTTAAGCTACGTAAAATCAGACCACCGGCAGGGATAGGTCTGCTTTAGTTCCAGACACGTGGACAGTGCGTGATCCCTATACTTTGCTTAAGATGCCCCTGTGCGTGGTCCACCCATGCCTGCATGACCTTTTCGCTGATTGGCTCCCTTACTGCGCATGTCCTTCGTAAGCCTTATAAGCCTGCACACTTCCTCAATAAAGTGGTTCCTGCTTCGACAGAACTCACGGGTGCTTGCTGCAGTGTGCTTGACCCGTCGACCTTACCTTTCCCATTTGCCTTGTCGGGAAGTGCTTGGGCTGCCCCTGCTGGTCAGGGGCTAGCCTCAGGCTTAAGACCCCAACATAATATTTTTCTCTTTTGTGGTACTTTCACTTTCAAGAATCCTTTTAGGCCAGCATTGTGGCTCAGTGGGTTAAGCTGCCAACTACAACCTGGCATCCCACATGGGTGCCGGTACAAGTCCTGTTGTTCCACTTCGAAGCCAGTTCCCTGCTAATGAGCCTGAGAAAGCAGCAAAAGATGGCCTCAAGTACTTGGGCCCCTGCAGTCCGTGTGGGAGACCTGGATAAAGCTCCAGGTCTCTCTCTCTCTGTACCCGCACCTCCCACCCCCGTCCCTGACTCTGCCTTTCAAATAAATAAATAAATAAATCTTCAAAAAGAAAAAAAGAATCCTTTTAGAAATGTAAGAACTGGGTGGGTATTTGGTACAACCATTAAGGACTGCCTGGGACACTGGCGACCAACATCAGAGCGTCTGCGTTCAAGTCCTGGCTCTGCTCTCCATTCCAGCTTCCTGCTGAGGTGCACCCTGGGCGGCAGTGCTCAGGGCTCAAGTGCTTGGGCCTGTCACCCAGGTGGGAGACCTGGATGGAGTTCCTGGCTCCTGGCTCAGGCCTGGATACTAAAGGCATTTGGGGAATAAACCACTAGAATGGATCTCTCTCTCTGCCTTTCAAATAAAATAAAAATTGTAAAATATTTTTCCAACCTATAAGGTATAGTCATTTGGAAACCATGACTCACTGTATTTGGTCTTTGTGAGCACAGAGCAGTTTTCAGAACACTTATCTAGAACCATCCGTGGGCCGAAGAGGTTGGGACAGCACTCCAGTTTGATACAGGTTTGCCGGCAGAACTCAGTCACCCGGTCTGCTGTCTTCACTATCTCCACAGTAGCACGATAGCTCTTTCCTTTGTATCTGCAGCGGGAGACACTAGAGGTCAGACTCACCAGGTGGATGAGTACCCAGAGAAAAACTAATCATACTAATACACTGGAAAAATGTCTGCTCCATCGAATATTCTATGTCCTTCTATAGTTTGAGGACTCCAAAGTAATAAAGAAGTTATACACATTACAAGTAACTTAAATCTCATAGGCTACAACAATGAAAAGCCAAGTTACTTAAAAAGAAGAAGAAAAGATTCTAAGTTAGTGAAACAAAGCTCCTGCTTTCTGTTCTTGGGTTGATGTTTTCAAAGAGTAATTTTAGCAACCCTAGAAGAAGTGTCACTTTCATCAAGTCTCCCCAGCTGGGGCAGGAGTCCTACACCTGCCACTGCATGGCGGCTCGGGTCAGAGACAAGGCAACAGCCTGTGAACTTCCTCAGGAATGTGAAAAAAGCCGTGTCTCTCTCGAACCCAGTAACAACCAAACAGGCTGCTCTTGTATTTTTATGTCTGCGAAATTTCCTATTTCTTGTGAATCATTTTTACGATATTTTTAAACACACTGATCCATGACAGAACACAAACTGGAAACGAAATCCAGGCCCTTGCTGCAAACCGTTGAAGCAGCACTGCTGCAGGCAGCCGCGGGGAGCTGGCCCACGCCTGCCGGGCAGAGCTGGCTACTCACTTGGCCTTCAGGACTTCCCCACATCCGTGCCACACGGAGTCTCTGTCCAGCTGGAGCTCCCGCAAGACACGGCTGGGTTTGTAGGCCGCGTTGATGAGCAAGGTGAGGACCTGAGCTCGGAGCCGGAGCACAGAGAGGGTTTGGGGAGGAGAGAAGCAGACCGTGAGGACCCCTCAGGAGGCCAACGCTAGTCCTAGTCATCACAAAGGCAGTGACGTCAGACAGGACGGCTGCCCAGACTGCACCTGAGAGCAACAGGATCCCTAAACGTTCAAAACTGGATGAGTGGACAAAAAAACCCGGGACCATAAACTTCACATTACTCTAGCACATGCTTCTGGATGCTTCCCCAGCCATGATACACATCTGGTAGAGAGCAGGGCCATCATGGTACTGGCCATTGTCTGGCCCAGAAGTGCTGGCTGACCCAGAGCCTGCCTCGCCCGGCCGAGGGCAGGAAGGTTCATGATGTCTGTGCACCTGCTATGCATGGCATGGCGCCCTGGATGACAGCCCCGGCCTTCGGGCAAACACCTCACAGCCTCTCCGTGGTTAGGGCTGCATAGTTCCCACGTGGTTTCCCATGGAAGCCGCAGAGGAGCAGCACTGCTTGGGAGCAGGTCTCCTGGGGGCTGAAGTAAGCACACGCCCACTTCACTGTCCAATCCCGGTGTGCCCGCCATCCTCATCTATGGTTCCACTTGGTGAGTTTCAGTTCCCCATAGTCAGACACGGTTTGCAAACACTAAACGGTAAATTCCAGAAATAAACAACTCCTAAGTGCTAAGTCACGTGCCACTCTGAGTAGTGTAGCAGCCCTGCTCTTTCCACCCGGGAGGTCAATCATGTCTCTGCCCACCAGCACACTGTACACACGCCCCGCCTGTCAGTCACCTGCAGCCATCTCGCTCTCCAGAGGGACATGGGGGCATCTCAGAATGCCCGTTTAAGTACCCCTTAAAGAAACCCAGCGCTACGTCACAGTGCCAATCATCCAGCTGTGTCTCATCACTGAGGCACTGGATCATCTCACGCCATCATGAGAAGGCGTGAGGACAGGCCAGTAAGATGCTCTGAGCAAGGGAGAGACCACATTCACAGAACTTTCCTAAGAGCCTCACAAGCAGGCTACTATCATTTATTAATCTCTTACTGTGCCCCATTTATAAATCAAGCTGTCATCACAGGTCTGCATACACAGGATAAACCATATATATACAGGGTTTGGTACTATCCGTGGTCTCAGGCCTACACTAGGGTCCCAGAATATACCCCTCACAGGTGAGGGGGTGCTATCACACATGAGAAAAGTTCGTGACTTTTGATAAAACCTGGAGTTACCATGTGCACGGCCTGAGTGCGCCTAGGCAGTGGCTGTGACATCTGAAAATTCCTCTTTGACTCTGGGCAGCACCTTACCTCTCTGAGGACCAGAACACAGTTGCCAGGACCTACACATTGAGGCAGCTCAGCAATTCTCCCTTTGTTAAGGTACGGCCCTGAGAAGCAACGGTGGTTGAAGTATATCTTTGGACAGCAGTATTTCCCATTGAACATAACTGGGAAGTAAAGAGAAATGCGTTAGCCAAAAAAACATTAGCTGAGGTCATGTATAAAATATGAATGTCTTAATGCCTGTTCTCAGTAGTTATTAGAATGACTGGCAATGCATCAAAAATCAGGAGTTGGGGCCGGCACTGTGGCATAGCAGGTTAAGTCTCCACCTGCAACGCCAGCATCCCTTATGGGTGCTGGTTCAAGACTCGGCTGCTCCACTGCTGATCCAGCTCCCTGTTAATGCACCTGGGAAAGCACTGTAAGACGGCCCAAGTGCTTGGGGCCCTGCACCCATGTGGGAGACCCAGAGGAGGCTCCAGGCTCCTGCCTTTAGCTTGGCCCAGCCCTGGATTTCATGGCCATTTGGGGAGTGAACCAGTGAACAGAAGATTCTTTCTCTCTCTCTGTAACTCAGCCTTTCAAATAAATAATAAATATTTGTTTAAAAATCAAGAGTTACACCACCCATGTTCTCTGCATATAAATGATGCAGGGAAAGGTGGTGGGTGGAAGAGACAAATGCAGAGATTCTGAGCCTCAGGAACTTTATAACCTGCTTCCGATCTTTCCGCCTCTCTCAGCCTTGCTGTCTTTCTTAGACACTTAGCAAACACCCTCTGAAAGCCCATGCTCTGCTGGAATACACACAGGTGCACAGGGAGGGCTGCACATGCCATACCTGAGTCTGCAGAGTTCAGCTCCTGATTCTTCAGGCCCTCATGGACAGCCCTCGAAGACGGCACTCTGGGTCAGCAAAACACAGAAGACAGTGAGAGAGAAGCCCTACGATCAAGCACTCAGGGCAAAAGTTAGTTTCCCTCAGATCTAGGCTGAGAGAAAACATGGCAGCTGTAAAACCTATTAATATACTTCCTTCATCACACTTTTTTTTTAAATCAGGGACTGGTTTCCCAACTATGTATGGGACAGAGAGCCAATGGACAGCCTGCTGAGTGCGGTGCTGGCTCATGTTCAAATCCATGTTCTCCTCATTCAGGGGACCAAGAAGTTATGAAAGTTCTTTCTTGATTCTCATACCACAGGTAATCTGTCCACGCCCCCCCCCCCCCCAACAGTTACAGGACAGAAATAAAGTTCCATTTTCTTTTTCTATTAGATTTGAAACTAAAGACAAATTCTGTTAATGGAAAAACCCAGGGACTTTTCAGCTATTAAAGTCACTGTATCTTCAGAATGCTTTCTAAGTTTTGGATTGGTCTTGACAACTAAGTTCAGGAAAAATCCAAGGTCAGTTTTTTGCTCATTGCTATCTACCGGGAAGGGAATTCTGTGGCCTTTCTACCCAGGTCTGTTGTCGGCTTTATCACCCACATGTAACAAAGGTAGTTATCAGCTGTCTACCAGATAGTCACAGAACCTGCTACAAGACGGAATGGGTCCCACCAAATTTACATGCAGAAGCCAGGACCCTCGACGGAACTGTATCTGGAGACAGAGTTTTGGGGAAGTAAGATCACATGGTTATATGGGTACAGCTGTGATCTGACAGGGCCAGTGAGAGCCCTATAAGAAGAAAAAGAAAGTGGCAGGTACAGTGGCAGAGTAGTTAAGCCACTACTTGGGACACCTGCAATCCATATCCCAGTGCCTGGATCTGAAACCTGCCTCAGCTTCCTAGTGGGAGGCAGCAGATGATGGCCCTAGTACTTACGTCACTGTCACCCATGCAGGAGACCCAGGTGGAGCTTCCGGATTCTGGCTTCAGCCTGGCTTAGCTCTGGCTGTTGAAGGCATACAGGGAGTGAAAAAGTAGATGGAAGATCTGTCTCTTTCTCTCTGTGTCACACTGCCTCTCAAATAGATAAACTTTTGCAAAAACGGAAAAATAGTTTTTGAGTGGGGGACAGAGAAAGAGAGAGAAAGAGAGGGAGAGAGAGGGGGAGAGAGAGGGAGGGGGGGAGGGGGGAGAGAGAGAGCAAGAAAGTGGGGGAGAGAAAGGGGGGGGAGAGGGAGAGAGGAGCTCCCACCCCCTAATTCACTCCCCAAATGCCTGTAACAGCAGGGGCTGGGCTTAGGCCAAAGCCAGAAGCCAGGGACTCAAATCAGGTCTCGCACATGGTGTCAGGAACCAAATCCATCCTTGCTGCCTCCCAGGGTGTGAATCGGCAAGAAGCTGGAGCCAGGAGTGGAATGGGGCCTCCAATCCCAGGCATTCTGATGAGGGACATGGGAATCTTAACTGGCGTCTTAACCACCAGGGTGAACACCTGGCCAAGAAGGAGCTTGTCCTCAGGTGAAGACACAGCCAGAAGCGGCTGTGCTAGCCAGGGAGAGAATCTTCACCAGCAATGGAGCCAGCGGCACCCTGACCTCAGGCACTCAGCCCCAGAACGCGAGAAAACAAACTCCCGTGGTATTCTTGTTATGACAGTCCAAGCAGAGTAATTTAGCACTCAAAACCCTACGTCTACCAACCACACACACATACGCAGAAACCTCTGTATGTGTAAGTCTTAGTCACCAGAACACCCTGCTCTTCAGGAGCTGAGTGTGCAAGGTGGCACCCAGAGCTGCTCGGTGGGCACAAAGCCGAGCTCTGATCCTGCCTTTTCTTCTAGAACTGCTGTCTTCCACTGCAAACGTGTTCCCTACTGGAACAGATCACAGCCTGATTTACAATTTTTGCCTTAGGGACCTGTTTTCTTTCTTTTATTCAAATGCCTTCATGCTCTGAACACCAGAGACAACTCGGCGTGGGGACATCTGGAGACCCACTTGTGCTCTCCGCACAGCGCCACCCTAGAAGATGGCTACAATACACTAGTGAGGACCATGTACATCACCAAAAGCTGAACTGGAAGACTACCCTTGCACCTGAGAGATAACCTATGAGGAGATCCAGTCTCTGCAGTAGTTACTTCTTTTTGTAGAAACGGAAACATTCAAAGGTCAATCATTCAAACAAACTTACTGTTTCTCTGGTTGAACCACTGCAATTTTCCTCTGCTTATGTACTGTAAGAAGGAAACAAAAATATAAATGTAAAGGAAAATAAAAAAGACAAAGGAAAAATTATATATGCATCAAGCTTACATTAGCATATTTAAAGCCTAGCTCTGTGTATAAACCACTATCAAAGTACTAGAAATGAGCACTTAGGTGGCTGTATATGCAGACTCAGGTCCATTTCTGGGCAAGGGTCTTTAAAAGCAGCAAAAAGAAAAAAAAAAAAAGACACGTTCTCAAGGTTCCTGCATGCGTCAGTTTCTATGAATATTTTCCCCTGTGGTCTGAATGATCTGGCCCCAAACTTACGCAGACATTTAAACCCCAAATCACTTATTAATGGTACTAAGAGGGTAGAAATGTAACCCAATTACAGTGTTCAGAAGGCGGGCCTAGCGGGGGGGCGCTCTGGGCAGGCGCTGCCCTGACAGGCTCGGTGATGACAGCCTGAGGCCTGAGGCCTGAGGTGGGCCCATCCTCTGCATCTTGGCTCTCCATGTGACCTGTCCTCTGCACACACTCTTTGGCCACCCACAGCCCTCACCAGATGCCCAACCAACAGGGCTGCTCAGTCTCGGCACGAACCTTTAAAGGTTGTGAGCCACACATCTCTGCCTCCTTCCCATGCAGCGTGGCAGGTGTCTCATCTGCAGTCACCAAAAAGCCAGCCAACACAATTTTCTAAGCAAAAGTCAATTTTCAAAAGGAGCGCTGATTGACCAGCGTGCTAAGCCACTCGGGGGAAACGGCGGTCTTGACAAACAGTGTTGGGGAAAATGGACTGTCTACATGGATGAAGCTGGACCCTCACCCCACATCAGTATAAAAACAAACAAAATGAATCAAAGACCTAATGGTAAGAGTCAAAACTAGAAAACTAAAAAAAAAAAAAAAAAAAAAAAACACAGGAGAAAATCTGCATGGCATTGGATTTGTCAGGGATTTCTTGGATATGATATCAGGAGTAGAGGCAACAAAAGAAAAGATGAATTGGACCCCAGTAAAATCTAAAACTTTTGTGCATTAAAAGGAAACTCACAAAACAGGAGAAAATACTTTGTCATGTATGAGACAAGGGATTAATATTTGGAATATGCACAGAACTCCTAAAATTCAATAATTAAAATATAAATAGGGGCCAGTGCTGTGGCATAGTGGGCAAAACCACCACATGCAACGTCAGCAGTTTCAAAGTCCTAGCTGCCCCACTTCCACTCCAGCTCCCGGCTACTGGACCTGGGAAAGCAGTGGAAGATGGACCAATTGCTTAGGTGCCTGCACCCACGTGGGAGACCAGAAGAAGCTCCTGGCTTTGGATTGGCCCAGCTCCAGCCACTGCAGCCATTTGAGGAGTGAACCAGTGGATGGAAGATATTAAAAAAACAAAAAAAAGCAACAGAGCAATACCTCGTGCTCGGCGAGGAGCACTAAGGGGGTGGCCGTTGGTTTCACACCAGCCCAGGGGGAATATATCCATGGATTCCACACTCACGATACACTCAGGAACGGGCTTCTTAGAACCTGTTTAGATTAAACATTAAAACAATCACTTTTTTCAGACCATTAACTAACCTTCAACAGCTGTTTTCCAGACAGTACAGGTCTAAGTCTCTTGAGCATATACCTTCTCCTCAGACATCACACTTCCTCAGGTGTGATAAACACCATGGAGAAAATGCAGACCACCCCTCATGCATAACCACACAGAGACCACAGCGACCCTCAGCTAGGGAACAGCAAATAAGCCCCTGAAGCCACCACAGTGCCAGGCAGAGGGCCAACACACACCACAGTCAATCTCTGAAGTGAACAGAAACCAGAAAGCAAAAGGGGTGGTTCTACATGATGAGAACCCGAGTTCTGGCCCTCTGGGAATCAGCCACAAAGTCAAGCAGGGAAATGGAGTAAGGAAATGAACTGGCAGGCTGCCCAACAGGGGTGCCTGTCCTTGACACTTGCATTAAAGGCCGACTCTGCAGATCAGGAACTGTGAGGGACCTTCTCAGGAGTCTGGGTCTTCAGTGCAGGATAAAGAAGAAAGCTGAGCCACACACAGTAATGGAGCACTGGATGCTCACACAGTGCCGTGGCCCACTAAGCTGTCCAACCAGTAAATACTACTTTAGTACAATAAGTAATTTCTACCTTACATACCTTTTGGTTCTATTGGTTTGGGAGAACAAAAATACAGCATCATCTCTCTGATAAGCTAGGTGTTAACACTCATCCTCATTTATTGTGCTCACATCAAAATATATGTTGGGGCCAGTGCTGTGCCACAGTGGGTAAAGCCACCACCCACAATGCTGGCATCCTATATGGGTGCTGATTTGAGACCCAGCTGCTGTACTTCCTATCCAGCTTCCTGCTAATGCGCCTGGGAAAGCAGGGGATGATAGCGCAAGTGCTTGGGCCCCTGTACTCATATGGGAGACTTGGAAAAAGATCCTGGCTCCTGGCTTTGGATCAGGCCAGCTCCAGCCATTGTGGACAGTTGGGGAGTGATTCAGTGGATGGAAAATCTCTATTTCTGTCTGTAACTTTGCCTTTCGAATAAATAAATAAATCTTTAAAGTATCGGGGCCAGTACTGTGGCTTAGCAGGTAAAGCCACCGCCTGCAGTGCCGGCATCCCATATGGGTGCCAGTTCAAGTCCTGGCTGCTCTACTTCCAATCCAGCTCTCTGAGATAGCCCGGGAAAGCAGTAGAAGATGGCCCAGACACTTGGGCCCCTGCAACATGTGGGAGATCTGGAGGAAGCTCCTGGCTCCTGGCTTTGGATCAGCTCAGCTCTAGCTGTTGCAGTCATTTGGGGAGTGAACCAGCAGAATGGAAGTCTGTCTGTCTCTCTTTCTGCCTCTCCTTCTCTCTCTGTGTAACTCTTTCAAATAAATAAATAAATCTTAAAAAAAAAATAAAGTATATCTATATATATACACACATACATCTATGTGCTATTTGACTTACATATTCTCTTTCAAGAAAACAGAGTTCTCTGCAATAAAGTTTTTTTTTTTTTAAATTTACATTCAATTACTAAAATTTGAAAGCGAAGAACAGGAAAATGATATTTTGCATCTTAGAATCTTGCATCTGAACAAGCCCCCGAAACTTCATGTTCAGGTTGACCAGCCACACCCAGGAGCAGTCGGGCAGTGCCCAGGAGGCCTCCAGCAACATCAGCGCTCACCCTCCAGCCGCAGCCACAGGTAGGAGCCTCGCACGGCAGCGATGGTGGCCACACACACTTCTTCAGGGAGAAGAGGGTTCACTGCCTCGAGCTTCATGTTTTCCTTAAACTCATGGTCGGAAATGGTCTAGAAAACAATAAAGCAAATCCATGTATAGGATTCACACTCAGTATTAACCCAGGTGCTCAGCTCACTGCAAAGCTGTACATTCATTTCACATTGCTCTTTCCACGAAGCCAAGGGGAAACCCCTGTCTCCCTTGGTGCGAAGGCTGGATGGTCCTGGAGGGCAGACACACTCTGTGGCATTGCCACGTGGATGAGCTCACTTTGCTTCAGTTCCTCAACCCTCAGGGAAGCTGAAAACACTTGTTTTGTTAAATCAGCGAAATAAGGTACTTGAGGCTCTGCGTGCTGAACCAAGTGGGCTCTTCCACACAACAGACTTCCTGGTTCATGCTGTCTGTGTCATGAGGAGTGCTTAGAACAAGGGGAAAGGGTCATTTAAGATAGGTTTTAGGGGCTGGTGCTGTGGCGTAGCATAAGGCCACTGCCTGCTGTGCCAGCATCCAATATGGGCGCCGGTTTGAGTCCCGGCTGCTCCACTTCTGATCCAGCTCTCTGCTAAGGCTTGGGAAAGCAGCTGAAGACGGCCCAAGTGATTGGGCCTCTGCACCTGCATGGGAGACCTGGAAGAAGCTCCTGGATCCTGGCTTTGGATGGGCCCAGCTCTGGCCGTTGTGGCCATTTGGGGAGTGAACCAGCAGACTGAAGACCTCTCTGCCTCTGCCTCTCTGTAACTCTGCTTTTCAAATAAATAAATAAATCATTTCTTTTAAAAGATAGGTTTTAGGGGGTCTGGTGCTGTGGTATGGCAGATAAAGTCATCACCTGTGGCACTGGCACCCAACATGGGCACTGATTCATGCCCTGGCTGCTCCTCTTCCCATCCAGCTCTCTGCTGTGGCCTGGGAAAGCAGTAGAGGATGGCCCAAGTGCCTGGGCCCCTGCACCCACGTGGAAGACCTGGAAGAAGCTCCAGGCTCCTGGCTTCAGATTGGCCCAGCTCTGGCCATAGCGGCCATTTGGGGAGTAAAATAGAGGATGGAAGACCTCTCTCTCTTTTTCTCTCTCTATGTAACTCTTTCAAACAGATAAATAACTCTGGAAAAAAAAAAAAAGGTTTCAAAAACTTGAACATCTGCACTGGATTATTCTCTTTTCTGACAACCAACTAAAACTAACTTTTTTATTTGCTTGTTTTAAAGATTTATGTATTTATTTTGAAAGTTACAGAGAGAAAATGAAAGAGAAAGGGAAAAAGAGAGAGAGAAGTGTCTTCCATCCACTGGTTCACTCCCAAATGGCTGCAACAGCCAGGGCTGGGCCAGCCAAAGCTGGGAACCAGGAGCTTCATCCAGGTCTCCTGTGAGGGTGATAGGACCCCAAACACTTGGGCCAACTTCTGCTACTTTTCCTAGGCCATCAGCAGGGAGCTGGATAGACATGAAGCAGCTGGGTCATGAGCCGGCACCCATCCAGGAGCCAGCACTGCAGGCAGTGACAACCTGTTACACCACAATGCTGGCCCCTATTTAAATCCTAATGACATAAACCTAATGTGATGTATATAATGAAAGAAAGCATTGCATAAGCTACAATTTTATAAGAAATTTTATTTCTTACAAGAAATTTCATAAGAAATCTAATTTCTTGTAAAACTTAGTTTTGTAAGAATAGGGTCTAGAAACTGAGTCAGCCTCTCAAAGACAGCTGACTCTGGGCTGGCAGAGGAGAAAGCCGAGAGCCAGCAGGAGCAGGCCCCGAGCAACCGGAGGTGGAAGAGAAGCAGAGCCAGAGGAACTGCTGTCTGCATCTGAGACGCACAGAGGCCAGGCCACACCTCCCCGGCCCTCTAGCCAGGACGCAGCAGAGCACAGGGGCTACTGGGCGCATGCATGCAGTGTCAGCCCCAGCCCTGGCTTCCACCCACTATGCAGAGACCTGAGAGAGACTTCGCATGGCAACGTGACAAGCCCAAGAAGAAATACGTACAGATGCAGAGTAAGGGACCCCCAACAATCGGCCGGCCACATTGCACCATGAGAGAGCTCAAGGCGGTGAGGCTCGTCCACGTGTTCAGAGTCCAGTCAACCCTTGCCTGGAGTTGCTCATTCTAAAGCAGAAGCCACGGCCAAGAATTAGCAGTCACTTAAGGACAGGAAAGCTGGAGACCAAAACAGTTAAGTAACTTGAAGTAAGCAGAGATTATGCAGAAAAAAGCTTCCCAAAGGCTGGGGGTGGTGTGGGACGGGGCGCTAATTAACATCCTCTGAGAGATTAAAAAAAAAAAAAAAACTGTTACATCCTTCAAACAAGCACAGGATGCTCCTGTAAATAGAGAACTACTCAGAAAAGAGAAGAGTTCCAGGAAATCAAAAACATGATGCCAAAGCCAAAAAATCCCAAAGACAAAATTGAGGAAAGCTTCCAAAAACACAGCAAGACTATGAAACAGACAAGACAAGACAAGACAAGCAGGAGTTTGAGCTTGAGAGCTGACATCCAAATAAAAGGAGCTCCAGGGTGGGCATCTGGCCTGGTGACAGACGCGCCTCTGACTCCAGGCAGACTCTGGGAAGGCAGTGGTGGCAGCTCAAGTAATCAGGTTCCTATCAGTCACATGGGAGACCTAGATGGAGCTCCTGGATCCAAGCTTAGGCCCAGCCCAGCCCAGTCCCAGCTGTCGAGGGCATTTCAGGAGCAAACCAATGGATGGGGGTTGTCTCTGCCTCTCAAATAAACAAACAATTTTTTTAAAAAAATCCCACGGAGAACAGAGAAAATGGAAGGAAGTCAAAGTGATTCGAGAAAATTTCCCAGCAGAGCAAGGTGTGAAAGCACCCATGAGGGGCCCAGCACAACGGATGAAAACAGGCACAAATCAAGGCTTAGCACTGCGCAGAATGGTGACAGAAAGATTCTCGAACTTTCTGGGGAGAGCAAAAGATGCAGGTGTCATCTTCAAAAGATCAAGAATAAGAGCGGCTTTCAACTTCCCAACATCAGCAGTTAGAAGACAACTCGCGGTTTAAAAATTCTGAAGCAAGATAATTTCCAACCTAAATGGCTCAATTCCATGAATCAAGTTAGAAGAGTGAACACATTTTCAAGTACGCGGTGTCTACAGAGACTCACCTTCCACACAGTCTTTCAAGAAGCTACTGAGAGACAAGCTCTGTCAAAGCACGTAAAACGAGAAGAGGTGGCCATGAGTCACACAGGACAGGGGAACGCGAGAGGGCAGTTCCTTGCGCACCGCCAAATGGTACCACCTTCATTAAACTGCAAGGCGGGGCCAACGCTGCAGTGCAACGGGTAAAGCTGCAGCCTGCGGCACCAGCAACCCATATGGGCACTAGTTCGAATCCTGGCTGCTCCACTTCCAATCCAGCTCCCTGCTAATACGTTTGGGAAAGCAGTGGAAGATGCAGTGCACACACATGGGAGACCTAGAGGAAGTTCGTGGCTCCTTGGCTCCTGCCTGGCCCAGCCCCGGCCACTGCAGCCATCTGGGGTGTGAACCAGCTGATGGAAGATCTCTCTCTCCCTCTCTGTAACTCTACCTTTCACATAAATAAATCTTAAAAAAAAAAAAAACAAAAAAAAAAAAAAAAAACCTAGATGGCGAGCTTTCAGAGCGAACCCTCCAGGGAGACAGAGGAGTTTGCCATGAAGGATGTCTCTCAGGAAAACAGGAGGCATGACAGAGCTGATGTGAGGACTGCTGTCCTGAGAGGCTTTGGAAAGGTAGGGGAGAACCACAGAGGACGAAGCAAACGGTGAGTAAGGCAACCATTACTCATGGACAAACGGAACACAGAACCCTGCATGCTCAGCTGAGAACAGCATCTCAACAGCTGTGGGCAAACTCAGTTTGGATTTAACCAAAGCTTGTAACTTAACCCTAACAGGAAGAAGAGGTGGGTCAGACAGGGCAATGGAAACATGAAGAGCAGCAAGGTGGTGACAAGAGCAGGGAGTGGCGATTCCACACGGGGAGGGACAGGGTGGGGATCCCGGCTGATGCTCTGCTTTTCACTGCTGGTCGGCTCAGGAAGACATGTGTGTTATCTGATGGAATTATTTTAGAGGACCTTAAAATTTTTATTCACAATATTTCAACTTTCTAAAATATTATTATTTTTAAACATTTATTTATTTATTTGAGAGGCAGAGGCAGGGAGAGAGAGAGGTCTTCCATCTGCTGGTTCATTCCCTAGATGGTCGCAATGGCCAAAGCTGGGCACGTCAGAAGCCAGAAGCGTCTTCTGGGTCTCCCACATGGGTGCAGGGGCCCAAGCACTTGAGCCATCTTCTACTGCTATCCCAGGCCATAGCAGAGAGCTGGAGCGGAAGTGGAGCAGCTGGGATTTGAACCAGTGTCCATATGGGCTGCTGGCATTGCAGGTGGAGGCTTAACCTACTACGCCACAGTGCTGGCCCATTTAATATTATTGAAACACCAAAAATAACTATGGGGAGTGGACGTCTAGCCTAGTGGTTAGGTAGCCCACGTCTCACATCAGAGAAGAACTTGGGTTCCATTCCTGGCTCTTGCTCCTGACTCCAGCTTCCTTCTGAATGCAGACCATGGCTCAAATAACTGAGTTCCTGTCTCCCACATGGGAAATCTGGATTGTGTCCCAGGCTCCTAGCTCTGGGCCTGGCATAGTCCCAGCTGCTGCAGCATCTGAAGAGTGAACCAGTAGACTAAACCTCTCTGTCTGTCTCTGTTTCTGCTTTTCAAATACACGTTTTGAAATTACAAAATGTCACATTCATAATGATTTTTGTTAATAAGAAAAACAAAACCAATAAACCTATAAAACTAACTTAGCCACTAGCAAATTAACTTCTTCATTAACTGCATTTATTTTCCTCTGGACCACTTCGGGACAATCAGCAAGGTGTTCATCTGGGCCGAGTGAAGTGATGGGCATCAGGAGCAAGGAAGGCCCGGTGGGGCCCGTGGCACAGTGGTGGGGGCCGCGCGGGGCTCTCACCGGGGGGAAGCACCTCTGCGGAGCGGCTTCAGCACCACACTGTTTGAGGTAGTCGGCCCAGTCAAAGTCCTGGCTTGGGTAGCCTGGGTGGGGACAAAAGCACAGTGATCGCACCACACGCACCTGCCCGGGGTGCACGCATGACTGGCAGTGCTGCCAACGCGAGGCAACTCCCAGCCAGGGTCACGGCAGATGGCATGCAGGAAGTGAAGTTCTCCCCAGCAGCCTGCTGGGGAACCATCTACACACCACCAGCCAACGATGAGACTTGCTGATACACAAAACCATAAACAGTGACACTCTCCAGGTTAATTTACAAAATATTTAAAACTTCAGGCAAGCCCAACTAAGTCATAACTACGAGCCCTGATGAAAAGGTCAAAGAGTCTATTTTACGACTGTAAACACCACGCAAGTCAGCAGCTGCTTCCTAACCAGGGCCTCTGTGTCCCACTCCCCTCTGAAGAGCGCCCCCCCCCATCCTGGGGCAAGGCCCAAAGGCCCAGACACTTGGAGACGACCAGGACTGCACCCACCAGCTCCGAGTGGACGGCCTCTTCTCACAAGCCCCACCCACGCGCTGCGGTGCAGACCCCCGGTGCTCACGGAGGTGTGGGTATCAGAGCACGAGGAAGGAACACCTTCTAGAGAAGGGCCGCAGCTTGACAGACAGCTCCGGAACACGCAAGAACGCGGAGCCCGGAAGCATCAGACGGGCTGCGGCATCTGTCAGGGACGTGCCCCCCAGGGAACAGCTCAGAGCAGTAGCAGTGCACACCTGGAGGGGGGATGATGTGGACCCCATTCTTCAGACCCCACTGCACAGGGAAGATGCCGGGACTGTTGACGTGGCACACGAATGACCGCCGCACGTGCTCCTCTGGCCGCAAGTCGTCCATCTCCACCAGAAAGTACTTGTCGTCGAACACCTGCGCGTGAGCAGACAAGACACATGGCTTCGCATGCATGTACGCGCACTCTGCTTGGAGCAAACACGCCACCAGAGTTCACAGTCACACTGGACATTATCACGGCTCCTCAACTCGACGTTTGTGTAAGGAACTATTTTATTTTAAGTATTTATTTTTAAAGATTTATTTTATTGTTTTCACAGGCAGAGTTACAGAGACAGAGAGAAAGAGAAATCTTCCCTTGCTGGTTCACTCCTCAAATAGCTGCAATGGCCCAGGGCTGGGCTAGGGTAAAGCCAGGACCCTGAATTCCATCCAAATCTCCCATGTGGATGGAAGGGGCACAGGGACTTGGGCCATCTTCTGCTGCTTTTCCCAGGTGCCTTAGCAGGGAGCTGCATGCGAAGTGGAGCTGCTGGGACTTGAACCAGCACTGATATGGGAAGCCAGTGTCCCAGGCAGCAGCTTAACCCACTGTACAACAATGCCAGCCTGAGGCATTATTTTCATTCCATGCTTTTCATCATGGGCATTTGGTACAGCAGCTTCTGTAGCTGCTTGGGATGCCACATCCCATATGAGAGTGCCTGATTCAAAGCACAGCCACTCTGCTTTTGATCCAGCTTCCTGCTCGTGTGCAACCAGTGGATGCTGACTCAACTACCTCGTCCCTGCCACATGGGAGACCCAGATGGGAGTCCCAAACTCCTGGCTAATTTTATCAACTGCATTTCACAGATTCAAACCCAAGGAGCTCCAAACAGAATTTAGTTTAAGCTTAGTAGAGTCAACTATACCAGTTTAAGGGTACTTCAACACATTCAAGCAAAATGGGTTTAAAAGATAAGTTTAGGGACCAGGGTTGCAGTGCAGCAGGTTAAGCCCTGGCCTGCAATGCTGGTGTCACATATTGGAGTAACAGTTTGAGTTCCAATTCCTCTGCTTCCAATTCAGCTTCCTACTAATGTGCCTGGGAAGGCAGAGGTAAAATGGCCCAAGTACTTGGGCACCTGCTATTCCTGAGAGAGACCAGCATGGAGTCTCTGGCTCCTGGATTCAGCTAGGATCAGCCCCAGCTCCTGTAGCCATTTGAGGTGTGAAGCAGTAGGTGGAGGATCTCACACGTGTGCTCTCGCTCTTACTCTCACTTTTCCTATCACTCTGCCATTCAAATAAATAAATCTCCTTTTTAAAAAACTTTTGGTGAAAAAAAACTGAGATGCATACATACATTTTCTCATAATAAGCATTTTTAATGAACTGGCTAAAGATCCTGCATATGTATAATTTCAAGATTTTAAAAATAATCAATTAAAATTATTTCAGGGACAGAGAGAAAGAGAGCTCCCACCCTCTGGTTTAACATCCAGATACTTGCAACAGCCAGGACTAGGCCAAGCCACAGACACTTGGATCTCCCACATGAGTGGCAGGGACTCAATCACCTGAGGCATCACTTGATCCTCCCAGGGTGCACACCTGCAGGACGCCATGACTCAAACCCAGGCACACCAACAGGATGCAGGCAGCCCTACCAGCAGCTTAACCACCAGGCCAAATGCCCACCCCTGAGCTCAACAATTTTTAGAACCAAAATAAACTTATCTTTTAATTCTATTTTCCATGAACTTGAAAGATGCTGGTATGTTAGTTTTTCAGGTCCTAACCTAGTTTCTCTTCCTTAAAAAGAAGAGTTTATCAGACTGATGCTATGGCACAGCGGGTTAAGCCGTCACCTGCAATGCCAGCATCTCATACGGGTGCCAGTTTGAGTCCCAGCTGCTCTACTTCCTATCCAGCTCTCAGCTCATGCACCTGGGAAAGCAGCAGAAGACAACCCCAGTGCCTGGGACCCTGCAACTCATGTGAGAGACTTGGATAAAGCTCCAAGCTCCTGGCTTCAGCCTGACCCTGCCCTGGCTGTTGCAGCCATGAACCAGCAGATGTAAGATATGGCTATTTCTCCCCACCCCCCACCCCCTCCCCCGCTTCCTCTCCCTCCTTCTCTTTTCCTCTCTCGTAATCTTCCACTCTCTTGCTATAACTCTGCCTTTCAAAGAGTGAAATAACTGTTTAAGAAGAAGAAGAGTTTACGAACCTCCCACAGTTCTCCAGACTCCAGATGGGGCCTTCAGACCCGACCTGCAGGGTCAGATGCCCTCTGCTCAGAGAATAATCTCCCACAACAAGGAAAACTTAAATCTCAACAGGTCACATGATGCAGCATTCAAATGACTATTCCTGTAGTCTTGTTCCATTCTGGGTTCCACTTTCAGAAAATGGGTTTCTCTCCCTTGGCTGTAGTTAATGATTAACTGTACCCTGCTAACCTGTTCAGTTCTTGCAGTTACTCAGAACAAGAGTCTGACTTTTGTCAGTCTCCCAAAGACTGGACTGCACAGCTGGAGCCCCCTACTTCCAGATCTTATGGCACTTACTGCCCCCTCCCCATGCACCCCCTCTTTCCATCAAGCCTGCACCCAGCTGGACACCAACAACACTGCCGTACATCACAGACCCCGTGGTCCCTGCATAGCGGTGGCACATGTCTCTCTCTTTGTTAAGAAGCCACCTGTGACGTCCTCACTCCAGACCAGAGTGCCTGGGTTAGAGTCCCAGCTCTGCTCCCAATTCCTGCCTCCTGGAAAGCAGCTGGGGTGGCTCAGGTTCTTGGGTGACTGTCACCCACATAGGAGACTGGAACTGAGTTCCTGGCACCTGCTTCAGCCTGTCTTACTGCTGGCTGTTGCAGGCATTTGGGAAGTGAACCAGTGGATGGGGTACATGTCTGTCTCCCTTTCAAATAAAGTAAATAAAACTTCTTAAAACTCTCTCTAGTCATAAACATTAGGCCTTCCCTAAAGCATGTACCAATTTTCCAAACCAGTCACCCAGACAGGGATCCTACCAACATTGTGGCTGCATTTTACCTTAACAACGGTCGCAGGAGAGATCCCAAAAGGAGACGAAGGGTCCACAGCTTCCAATTTCATATTTACAGAGAATGTATGAACGTCAATAATTGGTTTGTCCTGAAATACAAACACCAAAAGAGAATAAAAATAATTTTTGTATTACTTTTACACTCACACATGGCTGAGTCCTCCTGTAAGTACTCAAAGCACTGGCGCCGCCCAGCTGCTGGCAAGCCCTGTAACTCCTCCCCCTGGAAGCACAGGACAGCGAATGCGGTCCTGCTATTCTGCACTCGGAACAGGAACTGATTTTACCTAAACTCATTTTATAGCAGGACCACAAGAGCGGAAAAGAAAAGATCCAGACAGCTTTGAGAGAAGTGGAGAAGAAAGCCTGGCGCTGTTCACAGAAGGCCAGGGCGGCCGCGACTCCAGCCCTGCACTCTCCCAACTCCACGGGGCTCTGTGTGCACCCCACATCCCCACAGTGCTCTGCTCGGCCGCTAAGACCCATCCTCACATGCTTCCACTGTCTACCTTAAACAGGTATGATGGCAGTGGCTCTTCTTCCTCCTCTTTCACTTTGGCCAAAATATCTCGCCATTCATCTTCATTTTTCAGATGTCTGATGGCTTTGGTGAGGCAAGAAGACAAACTTCAGATGAACAGAAACCTAAGCACCCCCATAAGCATATTCCCCACAGTCAGCTATTTCCATGGGGACCAGCACAGGCTCAAGCCTTCCTCTTCCGCCACATTCCCCCTCAGAGCTCGGCCTGCCCCGCTCAAGGCCCGGACAGTCAAGTTGTGTGGAAACAGCGACAAGATGTTCCCAGGACGGCCATGGGACGCCCACCGTCCCCACACGCCATGTGGGCACGTCGCCATGAACACAAACTCCTTTACACAGAGACTTGCTTCAGTGTTCCTAGTATTTCTTTCCAATCAGCAACTGGCTGTGAACCCGAGTTGCCACACATACCTATCCGATGCTGCCCAGAGGATTCTGACTTTATTTTGGTAAGAGGTCAGCAGAGGTTGGGCCAAAATCTTTGAGGTATTATCAATATGTGTGGGAAATTATAGAAGCAATAAAATTAAAGGGAAAACAGGAGCTTAATTTAACAACTCCACATACACTTTTTGCAATGTACTACGTGAACGAACAGAAGCTTTCAGAATACAGAGCACAGCGCCCTTCTCAGCCCCACAGCTGTTAATGACGATACAGCGCTGCTCTGCAGGTACCAGCAAAGCATCACTCTTCACCTGATGGGGGCTGCAGCTCATAGCCCTGCTGAGCGGCCCAGCCAACGTGATGAAGGAAGGGGTCCAGGTAATACAGCCAGTGTTCAAAATCGCCAGAACCCTCCAGCCCCTCGTAGCGCAGCCTCAGCCTGCCCCCAATGTTCTCCGCCACAGTCACGATCCAGGTGCTGAGAGAGTCGCGGAAAGCCTGGCACTCCAGCCGGGACCCGGGGGCAATGAGATCTAGCGGGTTCCTGCCATTACGGAGCTGGGGTCAAACAGCAAAATGGAGAATTAAGATAAACATAATATTTTTTAAAGTCAAGTCCTAAATAATCTCAAACCAACCTAGTTCTAAATGACCTCAAACTAACCTACCCAAAGCCAATGACACCACTATATTCCTAAAGCTGTACCTATGAAATTTGTATTCATTAAATAAAAGCTTTCTAAAAACGAATAATAATTTAAAAAAGCCAATTACACTGAATTATCTCCTATTATACAATCTTCTAATAGCATTATTTATAAGTGACATTAAGATATTTATCTTACAGAAAATCTACCTTTACCTAACGCAGTAAAATTATTCTAACAGCTTTTTATCACCAGGACTATTTTAGCTCCATTTAGTAAGAAACTTTAAAATATCATCATTACTTTATCTCTGATTATAAAAGTAAATACAATCAACCATGCAGAAAAAAATCAAACATGACAAAAGTCAGAGTTCCCCACATCCCCCGTGTAACAAAGAATCACAAAAACTCCACGGAGCAGGCTCTTTTCCTGCCAAGTCTACATGCTCCACCAGTCTGTCCCTCTGCTTCTCGCCCGTTTTTTTTGAAAACTGTATACTGTTTTTCACTTGATACATCATCATTATCATAGCACTCTTTCTATTACGGCTGATATAAATGTTCCTTGTCTTGTAAACTGTTTCATGGTATCCTAGTGGAAATGGGAAATAATTTATCCACCTACCTACTACTAGCATTTCAGTTTTTCTGTTTTTTTTTTTTTTTTTTACTCATTTCACAACAATGTTCTAATGAGCACAGTAAGAACTTCAGATTACACTGAAGGAAACTTTGTACTCTCACTGTCTGGGTAGATATTAAAAACCACAACACAGAATGAAAAAACAGTCACTCCACAGTTATCACTTAATCGTTTCTCATTATTCAACCTGATGTGTTTTCCAGCAGGGGCTGTGCTGCGACACTTACAGAATCAGACACAAAAAGAACACATGAGAGGCCGGCGCCGCGGCTCACTTGGCTAATCCTCTGCCTTGTGGCGCCGGCACACCGGGTTCTAGTCCCGGTTGGGGCGCCAGATTCTGTCCCGGTTGCTCCTCTTCCAGGCCAGCTCTCTGCTGTGGCCAGGGAGTGCAGTGGAGGATGGCCCACATCCTTCGGCCCTGCACCCCATGGGAGACCAGGATAAGTACCTGGCTCCTGCCATCGGATCAGCGCGGTGCGCCGGCCGCAGCACGCCAGCAGCGGCGGCCATTGGAGGGTGAACCAATGGCAAAGGAAGACCTTTCTCTCTGTCTCTCTCTCTCACTGTCCACTCTGCCTGTCAAAAAAAAAAAAAACAAAAAAAAAAACAACCACATGAGACAAATGGAGGCACACATCCTGGCTGCAGGTACCACAGCAGAGGTACTGCAGAGCGGAGCACCCAGTAACTTGTTCCGGAGCTTGTCCATTCATGCTAGACTGAGTGTGGGGCATGTTCCAGGCCCCAGGCCCCAGCCAGGCCTTACAATAAGAGGGGCCGGCACTGTGGCGAAGCGGGTAAAGCCGCCGCCTGCAGTGCCAGCATCCCATATGGGCGCTGGTTCGAGTCTTGGCTGCTCCACTTTCAATCCAGCTCTCTGCTAAGGCTTGGGAAAGCAGCTGAAGATGGCCCAAGTGATTGGGCCTCTGCACCTGCATGGGAGACCTGGAAGAAGCTCCTGGATCCTGGCTTTGGATGGGCCCAGCTCTGGCCGTTGCGGCCAATTGCGTAGTGAACCAGCGGATGGAAGACCTCTCTCTCTGCCTCTCCTTGTCTCTCTGTGTAACTCTGACTTTGATATAAATAATAAAATAAAATTAAAAAAAAAAAGAAAGAAAAAGAACAGCTTGAAACAGACTGATTACAATCACCAATCAATACTTACAAAGGAATGTGAATGGATCACAGAATTAAATGTAAGAGCTAAAACCATGAAGCCCTTAGAAGAAAATATAAGAGCTACTCCATCTTACCCTAGGTTAAGCAAAGCCTTCTTTTATATAATATCAAAAACACAAGCAACAAAAGAAAAAAAGATAAATTGAACTACATAAAAATAAAAAAAATTTATGCTACAAATGATAAAAAAGACAACCCATAGAATGGGAAGAAATATTTGCAAATCATAAATCTCATCTGTAATTATATCCAAAAAGCATAAATAACTCTTAAAATTCAAAATAAAAAGACAGTCCAACTTCACAATGGCTAAAGCAGGACCGGCACTGGGGCCCTCTTTATGCAGGCTTCTCCTATCAGAGTGCCGGTCTGTAGCTTCCAAGCCAGCTCCCTGTTCATATGCCTGGGAAAACACTGGATGATGGCCCAAGGATCTGCCAAGTGGGAGACTTAGATGGAGTTCCTGGCTCCAGCCTGGAACCACCCTGGCCACTGCAGCCATCTGGGCAATGAACCAGCTGGTGGACGACTGGTCAATCTCTGCGTCACTCTGCCTTTCCAGTAAAGAATAAACCTTTTTAACAACAGGTAAAAGTGTATCTCCCAAAAATACACATGAATGGCCAAAAAGCACATAAAAAGATGCCCACCATCATTAGCTATTAGGAAAATTCAAATCAGAATGAGGCATCACTTTGCACCCACTAGGACAGCGACGACCAGAAAGAGGACAAGCACTGGCAAGTATGCAGAGAAATGGGAACATTCACAGACCACATCTCACGAACAGCACAAAGTCTGCTACTGATATGAAAGAAAGTCACAAGAAATAATACAGAAATGTTGAAACCAGTAAATCCATTTCACAAAACCAAGACGTCCATATTCACTAACGAGCTCAAAAGCTGCACAAACCTCACAGGACTGCTGTGAGCAGGGCAGGTCCCATGACTTCTGAGCAAAAGCTCAGCCGGGCTGAGCTCAGTTCCAGAGGGAAAGCCCCCAATGGCCTCAATTTCCAGACGGAAAACCGTCAGGCACCGAGCAAATGCAGGGCAAGTCCACCCCTCCCCAGCGCCTGTGCCTGCATCTCTGACAATAATGCTCATGTGCTTCTGAGTGGGCAATCAGCAGGCGCCCTCAGACCCCTGGGGGAGTACACCGGCATCCACAGGGAAACACTACTCACGCCGTCCAGCAGAGGTGCAGGAGGGCTGCGCGCCCCCACCAGGGTCTGCCGCAGGAACTCGGCCCAGTCCGACACTTTGTCCCTGATGCCTGCGCCGGGGAGGGAATAAATGACAAATTAGGACAACGCCAGTCGCGGGCCCCAGAGAAACCAGGCAGCAGCAATGCTGCGGAGGCGCATTCACCATGTGAGGATCTGAGAGCCCCAGGTATTGCTGCCCTGAGAGCCTGAAAAGATCAAACAAAATAAAAACACCCTTCTCTATGTTCTAGTTAGTTTATTAAGAGTTGTGTACAAAAAAAAAAAAAAGTCCAAATCTGTATCAGTATAATTTTATCCAAGAGGTCCTTAATTTCCTTTCTTTTAATACAAATTTTAAAACATGCTTAAAAAGTAGAGACAATCATGTAATGAATACAGCGTCAGCCATAGCCACCTCAGGGTCCATCTGGTCCGCCCAGCCCTGGAGATGACAAACTACAACCTATAGGCTCAACCTGGCTGATGCTGCTGTAACACCCTCTGTGTGGTCAGGCAGCTTCGACAGGGACCACAGGACACTCACCTGCTGGGCCCTGGCTGATCATCTGCTAGCTTGGGCCTGTACCCACACCCCCCACCCCTACCCCATCAAGGGCCACCTGGGGCCAATCCCAGTTACCGTAGTGTTTTAGCCATGTGTATGTCGGTGTATTTCTAAAAGAACATTAATTTTCTACATACCCATAAAAACATCATGCCTTAAAAGAAATTCCTTAATATCAAATATTCGGTCTATATTCAAACTTCCTCAATGGTCTCATGAATGGTTTTTTCAATGTTTGATCAAATCAGGATCCCCAGATAAGACCTACCACATTGCAAATGGTTAATAACAACTCCCAAACTTCTTTTACTTTACAGGGTCCTTCTCCTCTCCTCTCCCCTCCCCCAACTCTCTTCTACAGCGTATTTGAGATGCTCTTTTTCTCTTATAAAGGTTGGCAGAGCCTGGTTTCATGGGTTGGCTGCTTGTGGTAACTAGTTGTTCCATGTATTTTCTGTAAGTCAGTATGCAGAACCAGAGGTCTGATTAAATCCAGTAAGTACATCTTCTGTCTCCTGGCTCACTTCCCAGATGGCCACAAGTCAGGGCTGAGCCAGGCCAGAGCCAGGAGCTTCTCCTTGGTCTCCTACGTGAGTGGCAGGGCCCCAAGATCCTGGGCCATCCTCTGCTGCTTTCCTGGGCCATTAGCAGGGAGCCGGATCAGAAGTGGAGCAGCTGGGGTACAAACTGGTGCCCATATGGGATGCCGGTGCTGCAGGTGGCAGGTTTGCCCGCTATACCACAAACCATCCTCCAAATTCAGATTTGACCATTTCTGGAGCGGTGGGGAGGACACAAATGCTTCCCCATGGAGTTCTGCCTTCCATTAGGGGGCAGAGAGGGCTAGGTGTCTCTCCCTGTGGCATTAGCACATTACAGTGGTCACTACAGACATGCACTGATTCATCAGAGGTTCAAAATGGTAATTCCATCATTGTTGTTGCTTTTTTTTTTTTTCAAAGATTTATTTATTTATTTGAAAGAGTTACAGAGAGAGGGACAGGCAGAGACAAAAGCTTTTCCATCTGCTGGTTCATTCCCCAGATGGCCCCTATGGTCAGGGCTGAGCCAGGCCAAAGCCAGAAGCCAAGAGCTTCACTTGGCAGGGCCCCGAACACTTGGGTCATCTTCCACTGCTCTTCCCAGGCCACTAGCAGGGAGCTGGATAGGAAGTGCAGCAACATGGACACAAACTAGCATCCACCTGGGATCCTGGCATTTAAGGTGGCAGCTTTACCTGCTACAGTGCCAGCCCCTGTTTCTTCTTTTACTAACCGAAATACTTCTATAGAGGAAAATCTGTCTTCATCAACTACTTGATTACTCTGAAGTAGAGTTTACAAGCAAAAGGCATGATATATGCTTCATTCTCTATTCACGCCTCACATTTAACAGCCGTGAACATAATCAGAGGCAGATGAATGGCGCAGTGGGTAAGACACTGCTCGGGATGCTTGCATCTCGTATCAGAGTGCCCGGGGTTCAAGCCTCAGCCCCACTCCAATGTCAGCTTCCTGCTAATGAGGCAGCTGGTGATGGCTCAAATAATGGGGCTCCCACCACACATATGAAAGACCCAGAGTGAGTTTCTGGCTCTTGGCTTCCATCAGCTCCAGACCTTATGGTGCAGACATCTGGGGAGTGAACCAGTAGATGTAAAGTAAATAAAGTACTTAGACCGTTATAACAAACAAACTAGGGACACGCAAACATCCATTTCTGACTGCAGCAGGGCTCTCCCGGCTGGACAGGACATCAGTCACTGGTCACTGGCACTGCTAGCTGGTCACCGACATGACGAGATGTTCTGCCCCAGTCCAGGAATGTTACTTTCCAAGGAGTCCCAATTCATTTCAGTAAAAAGTATTCAGACAGCAGAACTGGGGTGCTGAGGTGCTCACTGCTACTGGGTTAGCGTTTTGACACCTTTGCCTTGTCTAGAACAATGTATTTCTTTTGCTGCTCTCCTTTTCCAAGAGGTAAATCACATCAGGATACTTCCAATACAGACTTGAAAGCATTCTTACTTGGGCTCATCTAAGTTACACTTCCTTTCTATCATGCTAAAATCCTACTTCCATTCACACCCTGTGGATGGACTCGAGGGTACCTGCTTCCTCTCCACCTCAGAACGCTCAGATGGCTATAAAGCACCCACCACATCCTGTAACACTTTCCAATCTGATCTCCACCTTGCCCAGGTACACACACTGAGACTTCAGTTTCTCTTCTATTTGTGTTTGTCTATATATCTTTGCCCATCCTTTTATTTATATTTATTTATTTACTTATTTATTTTTTGACAGGCAGAGTTAGACAGTGAGAGAGAGAGAGACAGACAGAAAGGTCTTCCTTCCGTTGGTTCAGCCCCCAAATGGCTGCCACGGCCAGCACGCTGCGCCGGCGCCGATCCAAAGCCAGGAGCCAGGTGCTTCCTCCTGGTCTCCCATGGGGTGCAGGGCCCAAGCACTTGGGCCATCCTCCACTGCACTCCCGGGCCACAGCAGAGAGCTGGACTGGAAGAGGAGCAACCGGGACAGAAACCGGCGCTCCAACCGGGACTAGAACCCAGAGTGCCAGCGCCGCAGGCGGAGGATTAGCCTAGTGAGCCGTGGCGCTGGCCTTTTTAAGTCCCCTATGATCTCCCTGTTTAAGTATGTGTCCTGTACATGAGATAGAAACAGCTCTGCTGTGTAAGGGAACATGAATTTTCTTTTAAATATCTATTTATTTATTTATTTATTTGAGAGGCAGAGTTACAGACAGAGAGGGAGAAACAGACAGGCGTTCCATCCTCTGGTTCACTCTCCAAATGGCTGCAATGGCTGCAGCTGGAATGATCCAAAGCCTGGAGCTTCTTCGGGGTCTCCCACACGGGTGCAGGGACCCAAGCATTTGAGTCATCTTCCATGGCTTTCTCAGGCCATTAGCAGGGATCTGGTTTGGAAGTGAAGCAACTGGGACTCAAACTGGCACCCATAGAGGGATGCCAGTGCCGCAGGTGGAAGTTCAGCCTACTACACCACAGTGCCAGCGCCCTGCTGTTTTTAATTTTCAATAGAAGAGTAAATCCATTATTAACATTGCTGACTGATATCATCAGTAAGTATGGCCTCAATTCTGTCCTGCTGATAAATCATTTGTGTGCCTGCAGTCTTTGACTATGGGACCTATCCTATTCACACATTTTTAAATCTATCTTTTGCATTTAGAAAGGTTTTTATCTGCTACTTGGCCTGGCTTAGCCCCAGTTGCTGTGGACATTTGGGGAGTGAATCAGTGGACAGATGCGCTCTCTCTGTCCCTCTGCATTTCAAATAATTAATTTTTTAAGGTCGACACCAAGAAAGACAATAAGGGGTAGGCGTTTGGCACAGAGCTAAGATGCTGCTTAGAACACCTGCACCCTGCTTTGTAGTGCCTGGGTTCACGTCACAGCTCCGCTCCTGATCCCAGCTTCCTGCTGATGTGCACCTGGGAGGCAGCAGGGCACGATTCAAATGCTTGGGTCCCTGCCACCACATGGGACAGAGATTGAGTTTCTGGTTCCCAGCGTTGGCTTGACCCAGGCCTAAATGTTGCAGTCATTTGGAGAGTGAACCAGGACATGGTAGATAACCCTCTGCCTGTCTCTCTGTCTCTGCTCTTGTCAAGTAAATAAAAATATTTTTTAATTATAAAGAGAAAGATTAAGAAAACTAAAGAGACATGACAACTAAAGGCAATGTGACCCTAGACTGGACCCTGGGCCAGCAGAAGAAGTGGGCAAAGGAACAGCACTGGGAGACCTGGTTAGACCTTCCAAACTCTCAGTCATGGAAAACCAAGGCAGCCCGAGACACCGTCTCAGACAGGGGCCGGCATGAAAACTGAATGCCAACATACTGCAGTGCCGGCATCACATATGGGCACTGGTTCAAGTCCCAGCCACTCCACTTCCAATCCAGCTCTCTGTTATGGCCTGGGAAAGCAGTAGAAGATAGCACAAGTCCTGATGGCCCCCTCATAGGAGCTCCTGGCTTCTGGCTTTGGATTGGTGCAGCTCCGACCACTGCTGCCAACTGGGGAGGGAACCAGTGCATGAAAGATCTCTGTCTCTCCTTCTGTCTGTAATTCTGCCTCTCAAGTAAATAAATAAATCTTTAAAAAAAAAAAAAGAAGATGGAGAAGAAAACAGCAGGAGAGCAATGCATGCGTTATTCCCTATTTAATGTCTTCAAACTCACCCTGAGGAAGCTGGGTGAGCCTGTGACAGGGCCCACCCTGTGCCTGCTTCACAAGAACCTCATTACCTTCCGGGGCTTCCAGGGTCTTCTTGTTCTGCTCACACCAGCCGATGGGGTAGAGGCCAGCCTTCCTGATGTCGCACCAGAAGTCGGCGCGCCGGTCCTCGCCATAGCCGTCGTAGCGCAGCAGCAGCAGCTGCTCACAGGTCGTGATGACGGTGGCCACCCAGTAGGCCTCCGGCTCCGTCCGCACAGCCACCTCCAGCTTCATCCCCGGGGCAAAGCCGTTCTGCAAGCGTGTGTCCACCTGAGGAGAGGCAACAAGCGGCTGGCGGGGGCACCTCTCTGCTCCGCGGTCTTTTTTAAGACTTCTAATTCTGAACTGCTAAGCGCCACAAAATGCCATCGAGACAAAAACCCGGGAAACTCCAATTCTAGCTCCCAGGAGTGAAACGGAATGGAGCAATGGCAAAGCCGCACTGCTCCAGCAGGTGCTGCGGCAGCGCCGGGCTTTTGCCCAAGCACTGCTCCTCGGTGGCAGAAAAGGCTTCCTATCAAGTACACGGCTACCTAGACGGTCACCACTCCAATAGCCCCCAGCACACTGATTCCAAGAGCGACTTGCAGATCCATCAGCAGGGAACCCGTGGCGCCTGGGAAGGGAAAGGGGGGGAAGAAGCTGCAGAGACGCCTGTTAGCGGACCCCAGCTCTCCTCACTACCCAGCTCCCCCTGGCCGCCCTTGGGTGACCACGGGCGCTGGGCCGGTTTCCTCTCTCAGAAAGTGTCCTCAGATGAAAACTGAGGGGTCAGCGATCCTGCAAGACCTCGTGTGTACACGAGCCTGAGGAAGTCAGGGCACTGTGAGTGACGAGGGACTCGGACCAGTCCTACATGGATGCTGCAAACGCAAGGGCAACTACAGAAGTCAGTTTCAGAATGCAGCACAGCTCCCTGCGGCAATGTGCTGGCCGCAGACGGCAGAGGGCGGGTCTGCGTAAGCCGGCTTAGCCAGGGGTACAGAACGTGGCGCAGGGGCTGCTGGGGGCTGGAGGCACGGGGAAGCTGTTACTTAACGGCCCAGTTCCTGTGAGCAAGGACGAACACTCTGCCCACGCCTGCTGAGTGCCACTGCTACAACTCAGAAGGCACGAGGATGGTCAACTTCACAGGTATCTTACCAAAGCGAGCTTTTCAAAGACTTAGTGATCACTAAGGGGTTTCAATGTGCACTTCCTTAAACGCAGTCTATCTACAGATATGCGGCCACTTCACATGCTATATAAAGTTCTCAGAACCAATTCTCTTCCCACTCTTTGTGTTATTATAGTTGTAAGCACACGATGTATTTCCATTATTTTTGCTTCCAACATACTTCTAGGGATACTGAAATTAAGAAAAGTTGAATTTTCTACCTACTTACATCTTCACTGTTTCCCATAACTTTTTTTTTTTAACTTTTTATTTCTTTATGTAGATCTAACTTCCTAACTTACACCAAATTCCTTTGGCCTTAAGAGCTTCCTTTAAAAAAAAAAAAGATTGATTTATTCATTTGAAAGAGTTACAGAGAGAGAAGAGATGCAGAGAGAGAGAGAAGTCTTCCATCCACTGGTTCACTCCCCAACTGGACACAATGGCCAGAGCTGGGCCAATCCAAAGCCAGGAGCCAGGAGCTTCCTCCAGGTCTCTCACATGGGAGCAGGGGCCCAAGGACTTGAGCCATCTTCTACTGCTTTCCTAGGCCACAGCAGAGAGCTGGATCAGAAGGGGAGTAGCTGGGACTCGAACTGGTGCCCACATGAGATGCCAGAACTGCAGGCTTTACCCTCTACACCACAGCACCGGCCCCAGAGCTTTCTTTCATGTTCTTGTAGTGCAGGTCTCCTGGTAATGACTTTTCTAAAGTTTTGTTTGTTTGTTTGTTTATGTGAGAGGCAGAGAGACAGGGTTCCTATCTACTTATCTACTCCCCAAATACCCACAGTGCACCCTGGGTGAGGCCACAGCCAGGACCCAGGACTCACTCCAGGTCTCCCCCGTGGGTGGCAGAGGCCCAGTCACTGAAGTCATCACCACTGCCCCCTAGGGTCTGCCTAAGCAGGAAGTTGGCAGCAGGGGCCAGAGCTAGGCACTGAACCCAGGCACCCCAACTTGAGACACAGCTGTCTTAAACAGCATCTTAACCATTAGGCCAAAAGCGGTGGCAGAATTTTCTTTTCACTTTACTGGGAAAAAAATTATTTCTTCTTCACTTTTGGATGGAAATTGTTGCTGGGGATAGAATTCTGGGTTGATGGGCTTTCTTTCTTTGACTGCTTTGAACATCTTACTCCACTGTCTCCTAGGCGGCCTAGTTCCTGAAAAGGATTTGCTGTAATGCTTATATTCATTCCTCTGCCCACCACCCACATCACCCTGCTTTCCACCTCTGGTTTTTCGTTTCCTTCTTTCTGTTTCCATCTCTGCTGATACCCCCTTTCTGTTGCAGCATGTTCTCTAACTCTTCTGCCAGGGTTATGAATGTACTAATCGCAATTATGTGGAACCCCAAGGGTTCCAACATCTACGTCACAGGAGCCTGGTTCTGTTGACTGCTTTGTTTCTTGACCTATCTTTCTCTGTCTTCTTAAAGTGGCACACCTGTAGCTGGTTGAAAGTCAGTCATGGGGGCTGGTGATATGGTATAGTGGGTAAAGCCGCCACCTGCAGTGCCAGGATCCCACACGGGTACCAGTTTGCATCCTGGCTGCTCCACTTCTGATCCAGCTTCCAGCTAATGGTCTGGGAAAGCAATGGAAAATGGCCCAAGTCCTTGGGCCCCTGCACCCACGTGGGAAACCTGGAAGAAGCTCCTGGCTCCTGGCTTTGGACCAGCTCAGCTATGGCCATTGCGGCCATTTGGAGAGTGAACCAGAAGATGGAAGACCTCTCTGTCTCTCTCTCCCTCTGTCTCTAACTCTACCTCTTAAATAAATAAATAAAATCTTTAAAAAAAAATACACATTTTGGGAAGACAGAAACATTTAGAACAGAGGTAACTGGGTTAAACAAGGTCACAGGGCAGAGCCCTGGTCCACCACAGTTAGCATCCTGAGAGGGAGAGACAGCACCTCTCTCCCCCCTCTCTGTTTTGCGAGGACACGGCAAGGGGGCCATCGGCAAGGCAGGAAGCGAGCCTTCACCAGGAGCCTCCACACATCCCAGCCTCCAACTTTTCAACTCTAGCCTGTGGCATTTTGTTATGGCAGCTCCAGCAAACAAAGACCACACATGAAATAATTAGTTTTAGAAGCAATAATTTCATGTGTCATAAAGAATTTAGGGTAAACAGGTTAAAACCCAAATCTACATATATAAATCTACATTACTAACAAAAATTACTAGTAAAATTTGGGACATTGTCTTATATTCTAAAGTCATCCCATGGCAAATATGCTGTCCACTGAGAAAGCAATAAACTGTGCCGTCAGGGCCCCAGATCAGGCTACTACGCGCAGCATGGGACAGAGCCCTGCTCTGCTCAACACTAGGGGAAGGACAGAGCGCTGCTGACACGAGTAAGTATAAAACACAAGAAAGCAAAAATATAAGAAAATGAACAACTTAATTTATGAGGCTTTTTGGAAAAAATAAACGAACATTTATACTGATCAAAAAGCTAAGTCCTATTTGAGGAGCCAAAAATTCAGTAAACACAGAAAGATTTCAGAATATGTCATTTTCTATTGGGGGTGAAGGCAGGAGGAAGAGAGAGATAAAGCATTTAAATTCTTTCAAGTGCCCCAATTTAAAACAGCGCTGAATTCTCTAATGTTTGGTACAGTGATCCAGAGAGAGGTGCAGCCAGTAAAGTAAAGGGGTTTGCTCACATGTTTAAAGGAGCCATAGGGAACAGCTGTGGACCCAGTCTCTTCTAGGTAATCTTCCCAGCTTAACTCCACTTCTTCCATACCAGATCCACCATCTGGAATTAGGAGCAAAACAAGACACAAAAACAGGTGAATCTCAGTTAAAGCAAGCTCAAAGCATGAAAACATAAAATTGGTAAGCCTTCCTTACACAATTTATCTCAGGCAAGTTAACTAGCTTAACACCAAAGCATAAGGTGGTTTTTTTTTTTTTTTTAATTTATTTGACAGGTACAGGAGTTATAGACAGTGAGAGAGAGAGACAGAAAGGTCTTCCTTCCATTGGTTCACCCCCCAAATGGCCGCCACGGCCAGCACTGCACTGATCTGAAGCCAGGAGCCAGGTGCTTCCTCCTGGTCTCCCATGGGGGTGCAGGGGACCAACCACCTGGGCCATCCTCCACTGCCTTCCTGGGCCACAGCAGAGAGCTGGACTGGAAGAGGAGCAACTGGGACTAGAACCCAGCTCCCATATGGGATGCTGGTGCTGCAGGCGGAGGATGAACCAAGTGCACCAGGGCGCCGGCCCCAGCATAAGGTGTTTTCTGAAGGGCAAGTTCCTTAGTGCATTGACTCTGAATGAATCCAAACAGAGCAGCAGGTGGACAGGCCATCTGCACAGGAGGAGAAGGTCACTGAAACACACACACAGTTAGTGGGAGTGTAAACTGTTGCGACCCCTGGGAACCATAATTTAGTTTCTAACACCAAAGATTAATGAGACACTTAATTGGCATTTCAAACTTTCAACCCGATTCATTCTTAGTACACTCCAACTGTGCAAGATACTACTAGTCAACATTTTAGCTCAATCTAAAAAATGCAAAGTTATCCTTGCTTTTCTCTTCTTCCACAACTTATATCCAATCCAGAGAAAAAAAAAAAACACCTCTATAGACACTGCCTCAAAAAATATATATATATAAAACTAATCACTTCTCACTTGATTGGCAAGCTCAAGTCCAAGGCCTAATCACAATATCTTTCACCTTTCAATTACACTTAAATAAAACATAGGGGCATAGTGGGTTAATCCTCCACCTGTGGCGCCAGCATCCCATATGGGTGCCAGTTCAAGTCCTGGCTGCTCCTCTTCCGATCCAGCTCTCTGCTATGGCCTGGGAGAGCAGAAGAAGATGGCCCAAGTCCTTGTGTCCCTGCACCCACGTGGGAGACCTGGAAGAAGCTCCTTTCCTGGCTTCAGATCGGCGCAGCTTCAGCCATTTGGGGAGTGAACCAGCAGATAGAGGACATTTTTCTGTCTCTCCCTCTCACTATCTTGACTCTACCTCTCAAATAAATAAATAAATCTTTAAAAAGAAAAAAAAAAAAACAAAACCACACACAAAGTCTTTGGGAGATCACAAAGGCCCTACACTCTCTGACCTAGCTACTCCCCCTTCCTCTCTGTCTCCAACCTAATCCTCACGGCTCTCTGCTCTCGGGGTTGCTCACCACCCGGCCCTGGCTGTTCCCTTAGCTCCCGCATCCTGCACCGTAGATTGTGGATCACAGTTGCATTTCACCCAAGTCTCTGCTTCAGAAAAGCCTTGCCCCGGTGCCCACCTGATGAGGGCTCTGCTCCCACCATCTCCGTGGACTCCAATCCCACTTGATAAGCTGACATCTGTCTTTCCATCTTCCCTCCTACACCACAGGCTACACCCAGACAGTAATCTAGTACACTCCTGCTTCCCGTCAGCTCCTGGAGAGCAGTGATGGGTTTCTGCTGTTGCTGCTCACTGAGATTCTTCTGCCCAGAACAACGACTGTTAGGTAGGAAAGCCTTAAATAGTTACTGAATGACTAAACCCTAGGCAAACCCTCGCTCCATGTAAACACAAGGTGGCGCGGCAAACAGGGGGATGCTGTCCACAGTACTGCTTGTAACAGCAACAGACTGGAAGCAATCAGTAGGAGAATAAATTACACAGTTCTTCAATGAAATACTACTATACAGCAAGGGGCATGAATGAGGCAGTACAGACTTACATAAACTTCAAAAGCAGACATCAAGTAGAAAAGCCAAGTGTAGAGTGAAAAGCACAGCTAGAAACAATTTAGCCTTTAAAACAAAACTCTGCAGCACAATGTTTATGAATATATGCATATTCAGATAAGTAGAAAAACAGGGATGGGAAGAAGATAGCTCAACCTCAATGTTACCACTGGGGATGGAGAAAAGAACATGAATCAGAAGGGAAGTACACATGGGGCTTAAACTGCATCGTGGAGCTGGTGCTGAGGTGCAGCAGGTGAAGCCACCACTTGTACCAGCATCCCACGTGGGTGCTGGTTCAAGACCTGGCTGCTCTACTTCCCATCCAGCTCTCTGCTAGGACTTGGGAAAGCAGTAAAGAATGGCCCAAATGATTGGGCCCCTGCATCCACGTGGGAGACCCAGAAGAAACTCCTGGCTTCGGATTGCTGCAGCCAACTGAGAAGTGAACCAGTGGATGAGGATGGAAGATTCTCTCTCTCTGCCTCTCTGCAACTCTTTCAAATAAATAAAGAAACCTTTAAAAATAAACTATATTCTTTATTTTTAAAAAAGGAAACATATAGAATAGACTTTGTGGTGCAGTGAGTTAAGGCGCTGCCTGGACTCTGGAATCCCATGTTGCAGTGCCAGTTCAAGTCGAGCTACTCTGCTTCTGGTCCAGCTGCCTGCTAATGAGTCTGGGAAACAGCAGAGGACGGTCCAAGCACTTGAGTTACTGCCATCCCTGCGGAAAACCTCGAAAGGGCTCTTGGTTCCAGGCTGGGCCAGCATCAGCTGCTGTAGCCATTGGGGGAGTGAAGCAATAGACAAATCTCTCTCTCTCTCTGCCTTTCACATAAATAATCTTTGTCTTACAAGTAAATAAATAAAAACAAAAACCACTATGGGGCTGGTGTGATGGTGCAGTGGGTTAAGTAGCCACCTCCAGACCCCAGCCACCCACCACATGTGGGAGCCCAAGATTCCAGGCTCTTGGCTTTGGCTTGGCTCAGAACCAGCTGTTGCAACCATTTAGAGAGTGAACCAGAAGATGGGAGCTCAGTCGATGTCTCTGTCTCTCCTTCTCTCAACCTTTCAAATAAATAAAATAAATCTTTACCCAAAACAACCGGAACAAAATATAATCACATACATTACAATGTCTACTGCTGTGCCTCAAATACAATTTGCTCCAGAACTCATGCAAGACTTTAAATCCCAAAGACACAGTGCCATGGCACTAAGAGGGTGGAAACTTCACCCAGCTGTGGTGTTTAGGAAGTGGCCCTCAGCACTGGGCGCATGCCCTCAGCAGTTCTCACGAGGGGGCTGTGAGGGGTCTGAGGCTGGGCGCCAGCCCCTCTCTCTGCTTCCTGGCTCATCAAGGGACCCTTCCCCAGTGTGCTTTGTGACAGCTTCCCACTGCCCTCATCGGGCCACATCAACGTGGCTGCCCAAATCTGCACGTGAACCTCTCAAAATCAGAGCTAAATAAACATTTGCTCTTCACAAAGTTCGCTGTCTCAGGTACTTCACTGCAGTGATGAAAAGCTGGTTAATGCAGCTATTGTCTGTAAAGCAGAAAACAGCAAGTGTGGGTGAGGAGGGGGGGAGCTAGAACCCCTGCGCACTGTTGATGAGAACACAAAATGCTGCAGCCACTCAAAAAAAATTTTATAAAGATTTATTCATTTATTTGAAAGGCTCTCTCTCTCACTCTGCCTCTCCTCTCTCTGTGAAACTCTGAAGTCAGGAGCTTCATCCGGGGCTCCTACACGGGAACAGGAGCCCAAGCACTTGCACCATCTTCCCACTGCTTTCCCAGGCACAGCAGCAGGGAGCTGGACTGCACGCCTGCATTACAGGCAGGGTGGCTTAACCTGCTGTGCCACAGCCCAGTCCCCACCTCCCCCAAAAGTTTTTTTTTGTTATCATATCTTCCAGTAACTGGGCTTCTGAATATATCAGAATTAAAAGCAGCAACCCAAACACAGATTTGTACATGAATGGTCACAGTAGCAATATTCACAATACCCCCAAAAAAGGTGGAAGCAACCCAAGTGTCTGTTGACAGATGAATGGAAAAAACAAACATGGTGTGTCCATACAGTGGACTACCGTTACGACACAGATGACCCCAGTGACACTTTAAGTGAAACAAAGCTAGTCACAAAGAGTCAAAAGCCAGATGTTATGTAATTGCACTAAGAGTTTCAGACTCACAAGGTAAAAAAAGTTCTGGTGATTGAAGGCACTGACAGTTGTAAAATAATGTGAATGAATTTAATACCACTGAACTAGCCAGTTAAAAACAGTGAATGGGGGCCAGCACTGTGGCATAGTGGGTAAAGCTGCTGCCTGCAGTGCCAGCATCCCATATGGGTGCCAGTTCGAGTCCCAGCTCTTCCAATCCAGCTCTCTGCTATGGCCCGGGAAAGCAGTGGAAGATGGCCCAAGTATCTGAGTCCCTGCACCCATGTGGGAGACCTGGAAGAAGCTCCTGGCTCCTGGCTTTGGATCTGCCTAGCTCTGGCTGTTACGGCCATTTGGGGAGTGAACCAGCAGGCTGAAGACCTTTCTGTCTCTCCCTATGTCTGTAACTCTACCTCTCAAATAATAAAATCTTAAAAAAGAGAGAGAAATGTAAACTAAAGCAACACCAGCACTTAAGCTAATGGTTCAGATGTCCACATCGTGGGTGCCTGGATTTGAGTTCCAGCTCCTAGAGGGCCTCAGCTTCGGAATTCCAGTTTCCTGCAAGCACAGACCCTGGGGGAAGAAGCAGGTGAAGGACCACCCAGTTGGTAAACTGCAACCAACACAGGAGACCTGGACTGAGTTCCCAGCTTCGGGCTTCAGCACCCACCCCCAGTTGTTTCAGGCATTTGGGGAGTGAACTAGCAGAGGGAGGAGAGCTCTTTCTCTCGCACATGTTCTCTCTCTCTCTCTCTCTCAAGTAAAATTAAAACAAAAACTACACTAAGATATTAGAGGAAAAAATTCCCCAGTTTGACAATAAACTGTACAGTGAGGCCGTAGTTAAGCAGGTAAAGCATATGACACAATCCCTATGGG